CTGATAAAAATAATTAGTCCCTACCGATAATTAGTGTTTTTTTTTTTCGTAACAATTTTTTACTAATCTTTTTTTAGTTTTGATCACTAATTATAAAATTGACAAAAGAATCTTAAATTTAACGAGAGTAATTACATGCCCATTGTGCGATAACTTGAAATTTTACAAGAACAATCGCATAAGACGAAAATTCTCTTTATTGCCCTAAAAGGTAGGAATACTTTGTTATTTGACGTTGTAGGATTTCGAGTTACTATGTGATGAACAATATTTAACTACCTTTAATATGTGTGAAGTATATCCGGCTGCTGTCTTTGTGGTGTGCATGAAGAAACTATGGATCACCTGTTTCGGAGTTGTAGGGCGCGTTTGGAACTCGTTTTAAAATGATTTTATTTTTTGTATGAAAATGAAAATGAAAACGTTTTCAATCTCAGTAGAAATTATTTATTTGACGTTGTAGGATTTCGAGTTACTATGTGATGAACAATATTTAACTACCTTTAATATGTGTGAAGTATATCCGGCTGCTGTCTTTGTGGTGTGCATGAAGAAACTATGGATCACCTGTTTCGGAGTTGTAGGGCGCGTTTGGAACTCGTTTTAAAATGATTTTATTTTTTGTATGAAAATGAAAATGAAAACGTTTTCAATCTCAGATAGAAATTATTTTTAAAAATACCTCTGGTAGTTTTATCAAGAGATTATTTTCAGTATAAAAAAACTCATTAATGTCTCTCTCTCTCTCTGCTCGAGAGGGGAGAAAACGAAAATAAAAAATGAAAAATGACTAAAAGTCATTTTTCATTTCTCTCTCATTTTACACTAAACCAAAAAATCATTTTTATTTTCATTTTTTATCTTTATTGCGCCAAACGCCGTTTTGAAAATGTCTTCAATTTTTCTTTCTTGAAAAACATGAAAAATAAAAACGGGATTAATTTCAAACGGTTGTAGTTTCTCTACTCATCTTTGGGATAGAGTAAGGCAATCTTTCAGAATCACTTTGGATCTGTCTGGTAATTTCAGCTCTCTTATCAGAAGTGCTTTACAGGTTACGTTTGCAAGTCCATTCCGTAGATAATTTGGCATTTAAGCAATGAGGTTAATAATGGGCTTAATCATGTTTGTCCTATGAGGTGAGTTTCCTTGATTTGGTGACTTATTCGAGAAGCTAATTTTTGTAATTCAGGTTCTATGAACAAGTCTCAGGATGATTTGATTATCGTTGACAGTTTTCAGTTAACTGGCAGACCAAATAAGGCTCCGACTATCCTAACAGTTCAACGGTATTCTCCCTTGCCAGGATGGATTAAAGTCAATACAGATGGTGCTGCAAATGGTAGTCCTGGTCTCTCAGGCTGTCGTGGAGTTATTCAGACTTATCATGGATTCTGCATAGGTTGTTTTGCGGTTCCATTGGGTGTAGCTTTTGCTTATGAAGCAGAATTATTGGGTGTGATTACGGCAATTCACTATGCATTTAAACACGGATGGACTGATCTGTGGTTTGAATGTGATTCTTCTCAAATCTCGAAGCATGATGGTTCCTTGGATTACAACTTTATCCCAAATTCATAATCTTAATATTCTAGATTCTCATATCTACAAGGAAGGTAATCAGGTTGTAGACAAGCTAGCATCGAAAGCGATTCATCTGCAGGCGGCAGAATGGTGGTGGACGCCTCTATATTTTTGTAGTCAAATGATTGTTAGAGATATAGCTGGTCTTCCTACCGCTACAGATTTCATTAATTCATTGAGTTGGAGTACTCTTTTTCCTTTCTTGATTTTTCCCTTTAGGTTTTACTTGAGGCTCCACTTTGAGGCCTTGGCATAGCAAAAGTACGGCGTACATGCACAAATAAAAATAAATGTAAAGAAGGACGACAAAAGCTGATTTTCTCTATTATCTGTCTGCACAATATACGCATTAATAACATTCTCAAGTTCAATAACAACACAAGCTAATATAATATTGTCTAAAGAAAAAAAAAGCAAAAAAGAAAAACAAAGATTAGAATAATAATAACAATAACACCAATATATATATATATATATATATAGTACCTACCCCCTAGTATTGTTAGTGTTATTTCTCAGCTTGGAAAGAGGCAAGAATTTTCTCAGGGCAGTGATTGTAAACAAAGGGCTGCTTCTTTATACAATGAAGAGTTGCTTTTTCACCTAAATGCCTGCGTCAAAAAATTGAAAATTCTTTCTAACAAAAACTCTTTGAATCAATCATACAGAGGTAATGAAGTACCTTTTTGTTTCGTTGATGATTTCAATGTCGAAAATCTTATCTTCCTCGCACGCCAAATAATATATTTTCTAAACCAATTGGCATAATCATAAATATTAGTTAAATAATGTTGAATAATATCTTGAATGCAGCGATATCATATGATTATAATAATTGGCATATAAATATTTCTTTTCTTCCTTGTATAACGTGAGTTTTCCATCTTTGCAAAATGAGCAGGATAGTTTTTTAACAAAAAGATTTTAGTACTCTCGATAAATTTGGATACTTTATTTCATTAGTGATGATGTTCGTAACATTAAGGGGCAAAAGAGGCAAATTGGCGTAAATGTTTTGATTTGGTTTTGCTCAACAATCACATCTATATAATAACTGTTTTTTAGTACGTACTTAAACTGCAACGTCCTATCTAAAATATTCTTTCAGATATGATAGCATAAGATACTATATTTTGTTATTTATGTATAAGCAAAAACTTTATAATCAAAAAGGAAAAAAAAAATCTTACAAAGCTAAAATATAAAAAGCCTAAGAATAATAAAGTAAAAGAAAACTAAACAAGACAAAACAAAATTATAAATAAAACCGCAAAGAAAGCCACAAAACCTAAGATTTTTGTCTGGGGCTGCAGTTATTATAATATGGTTATACATTTAATGGGGACGATTAATACTTTTGTATCAGATTAAATAGCCAAAGTAAAAATTACAGCTGTAGAAAACAAAAATATTCCACTTATAATTAATTAGAAAGAGATCATAAGCACCTGTGAAAAGTTTGGGATATAGAACTCATTGTCCTTGACAATAGCAGCATTAATAAGTTCAGATCTCTCGGGCCTATTATCGAACATGACCTGTCGTTATCCATATAATTAGTCTTCAATAATACTACACCAACTAATAATAGAAAGAAAAAAAAAAAAGAAAACAAAGAAAAGAAATTTATCTCCGTGACCCAAAGACGTGGCCTAACATGAATCAGAAACCTTTTTTTTTTTAATAAACGAGCAATTAATTCAGCCTATTCAAGTACGTGCTAAGTTTGGCCCGCAAAAAAAAAAAAAAAAAAAAAAAAGCGACAACAAATATATAGTTGTCCAAGCAAACGTGCATTCATGGCATATCTAACCAATAACAAAAATAATCTCGTCAGTCGTCCTCACATTGTGATTTTTAAGTTATTTAAGGAAAAGCTTGTGAATAACTTCAACGTTCCAAAATACTATAATTTATAGCAAAAGTGCATTGATCCTTTTCAAGAAAAGCACTTAGTTGTAATTGGCACTTAAGCAAACTTTTAGGCACACCTCCAAATAATGTCTATAAGCCCAATCAGGAAACCATGGCTTCTTACGAACAACAGCGCACCCAAAAGCACTTTCAAACCCTGTTTCTGACATCAAAAGCTCGGTCCATGACCCGACCCGAACCCTCTCAAACGCTGCCTTGCTATGTCATTCCGTGGCTCCAACGTTGGAGTTGGATAGTACTATAAACACTTGACTAGGGGTGGCAATTCGTGTTACGCATCATGTTCTTGTTGTGTTTTGGTCGTTTCTTTTTAAATTTATAGTCAACATCAGCACGACCCGTGACACGAAATTTTTTACAAACCACAACACGAACACGGCACGACCATTTTACGTGTTGACACGACACGACACGAAAATAACCAGTGATACGAAATTAACCCATGAACCTGAAATTGACATGAAAATTATATACTTTTCATTGGTTTTTTACATATTAGTAATAACTTAAAATTCATAACATACTAAAATAAAAATAACATCCATCAAAATTAAGCAAATAATAGTATAAGATTTTTAGTATAACTATCATGATATTATAAGTTCATACAAAAATCTAAAATATATAATGAAAAATATATATTTTTTAGTTTTTTACGAGTTTTGTGTCGTGTTCGGGTTAGACAGATCCAACTTGAAATTAACCCATATTTTCATGTTAATTTCAGGTCGGCTCAATTCTGATCTGAACCTCTTTTTTCTCAACCTTAACCGGCGAAATTCGTGTCGTTTTCGTGTGATGTTGTCGTGCCGTGACCCATATTGTCAGTCAAACCCTGTTTCTGACATCAAAAGCTCGGTCCATGACCCGACCCGAACCCTCTCAAACGCTGCCTTGCTATGTCATTCCGTGGCTCTAACGTTGGAGTTGGATAGTACTATAAACACTTGACTAAGGGTGGTAATTCGTGTTACACATCATGTTCTTGTTGTGTTTTGGTCGTTTCTTTTTAAATTTATAGTCAACATGAGCACGACCCGTGATACGAAATTTTTTACAAACCACAACACGAACACGGCACGACCATTTTACGTGTTGACACGACACGACACGAAAATAACCAGTGATACGAAATTAACCCATGAATCTGAAATTGACATGAAAATTATATACTTTTCATTAGTTTTTTATATATTAGTAATAACTTAAAATTCATAACACACTAAAATAAAAATAACATCCATCAAAATTAAGCAAATAATAGTATAAGATTTTTAGTATAACTATCATGATATTACAAGTTCATACAAAAATTTAAAATATATAATGAAAAATATATATATTTTTTAGTTTTTTACGAGTTTTGTATCGTGTTCGGGTTAGACAGATCCAACTTGAAATTAACCCATATTTTCATGTTAATTTTAGGTCGGCTCAATTCTGATCTGAACCTCTTTTTTCTCAATCTTAACCGGCGAAATTCATGTGTTTTCGTGTGATGTTGTTGTGCCGTGACCCGTATTGTCAGCCCTACACTTTACCAACTTGAGATCCGATTCTGCCATCTTCGACCCGACAATCCCGCCGTAACTGCGTCCCACCACCGTGCAGCTCTTCACGCCGAGCAATTTTAGGCCCTTTGCCAAGCAGTCGGCGTGGAATTTCGGCGACCAGTCAGTACGGGAGCCACCGAAGTGGAGGGGGTCCGGCACGAAAACTTGGGGAGCCACGCCAGCACCCCAGTTCCGGCAAAGGATAGTAGAAGTACGTTTGGTTGCAGGTTTAACCTGACGGTATTTGTAGCTTTCGACGACCTGGGACGGTGCCCAGAAATGGATCACCGTCCCCGGATTGATCTCCACAGTTTGAGGTTTCAATCCGTAAAGCCTCAAAAAGGCTGAAATTAGTGGATTCAGTATTGTGAGGAGGTTCGTTTTCTTTTTTCTACGAGAAAGATGAGTGAGTGATCAATATTGATGATCTTCTTGCTTTGGTTTTAAGTTACCAGTACGCGGTTAAATTAAAAGTCTATATTAATAGAGAAGAATTTTCTGTAATTGAGAGTTTTCCATTAATACGCCATGAGACAATTCGTGTAAGACTACTCTATCTTCTTCTCTGCGCTAATTAATAAGCTTTTGACCTTTTATAACAGTCACTACGTACGGGACGTGCTTATCGTTAACGTCATTTATGTGACGTGAAGAAAATGCAATTTTCATCAAGTGTTCTTTCTCTTCCTCTCTCGATCATATAGCTAGATAGCTAAACTCCAGTGCATTAATTAATTTTGACTCATAATAGTAGCTTGTGCAGTCTGTGTTAGGAATACGATAATTTGTATGTTTTATATTGAAAATTGTGACTCTAAAAATTAGAGTTGTATAAATTATGGTAGTTTTGTAAATTTAAAAGAGAATAGAATAATTTTTGCATTTTAATGATATATTAATTATGCACGTTTGAACGTTAAAGATGTAAAAGTAATGATACACGGTTGACGTGAAAACACTATATATAGCAAACCATATAATTAATATGGGTTTGCTAACTATGAAAACTGCTCGAGTAGTTAGTCATCCAAACTGTGGCACTTGATGATTTATCCAGTTGCTCCTTCTCTTCATTAAACGAAACAAAAAATAAAAAATAAAAAATCCTCTATCGTTAAATCAATAATGAGATTAAACTCGTTCCTTAGAGCAGCCGAATCTACAAGTATAGACTAATCATCCCGTCCACTGGCCTTGATATTTCTTTGCTTTTTTTTTTTTTTTTTTTTGCTTGCTCAAATTCCATCTTTTTCATATACAAGTCAAACTAATCAAAATTTAGAAAATCCCCAGCCTGAGAAAATTATTCTCAAACTACCTTGTATTCTTCATAAATAAATACACCCATATAACACTATATGTTTAAAAAAAGATCAGTACAAAATTAAAAAATATAATTCCATTTCATTTTTGAGAATTAATTTTTCAAATAAATCTAACACTACAGATTAATTACCTATATATACTTTGTTTCCCATTTCTTATAATATCCTCTCATACAATTTTTCTTACGGTTCTTGCGGAACCATTATAATTGCTGATATTCAGAGTTTGTTGGTTATTGAGAGGCCAGCTCCTGTAGGCTTGGTCCCTCTCTTTAATTGTTTGTATCTTCCTTTTCACTTCCTTGGATACTTTTTCTCCAATTGACTTATTCAATTTAATCTTGACATTGACATTGATTAGTTAATCAATTACTACCCAAAAAGAAAATCCATATTTATATACAAAAGAATGAGAAGCTTCGTGGTCAGAAGTAATAATAAAATGACGTAATATTAATTTGTGACAAGCTACGTCGACCGAGAGAGCACTTGTATATATTTAAAATAGTGTATACTGCTACGTGTGTGTTAAATCGGTAAATGCAGATAATTCTGTCATTTAGCAGTCGTCAATGTTGTTTTAAATTGTAAAATGCGGAGAATAATTAGTATACCAATCCATTTGGTATTTTTTTCATTAAAAGCGCCAACTGAAGAACATAAATGCATGCATGTATAAATCTGACATCTTACAGCTTGTATCTGTGCTTACCCGTTTGACCTTTAGACCTTTTGGATAAATGTTTGTTGGTACGTTAATCACTTATTCATTTATGTTGCGATGTGTGTGTGTGTGTGTGTAATAATTAACGTTTTTTAATTATTAGGGACGATGATCGTTTGAATATTAATCAATTTAACAGTTATGATTGAGGGCAGCCGACTCAATTTTAGTTGGAAACTAAAAGCTTTTTATGGAAAAGTACTTCTTACCTCATGCTGGTAAATGTTATAAAAAGTCAGATTTTTTTTAATAAATATAAAAAGTTAGAGTTAATAAAAAAAAAGCAATAAAACACTTATTTGCTTACGTGTATTTCGTTTAAATTAAGAAGGAACATATGATTAATATCCAATACGATCAACGAATGCAATAAAGCACCATTAAATTTTTCAGCAAAAAAAAAAAAAAAGCACCGTTAATTTCCAATAAGACTTCTAGTTCATTGAATTTGCAAGAGTTTAACAATGTCCTCTCCTATCTTTAAACTTTTCTGAAAAATTTAGTACTAGATAGAACTCTCCTAATAACAGTTATTAAACTTTGCTGTGTACAACTGAACTGAAATTTACTTAACTTGTGGAAGTCAACTTCTTGTCAACTAATAGGTCTTCTCTGACATGATGCTTACGATTCATTTCTGAAAAATAAATATTTTTACTGCAATCCCTAGATATGGCAGATTCTTGTGGCAGAAATAAGTATTATATCCATTTTTTCTTTTAGCAAAAAAAAAAACAAAAAACAAAAAACAAAAACAAAACAAAAAAATGGTTATATTTAGTCCCAGAGGAAACATTTTTATTACAACAAGTGTTATTACTGTATATAAGGATAGTCAATGCATATCTTACCATGTATTAATCATTGCATGTGGATCCATTACTTCCCAACACACTTGGGGTCCAAGGCCTAACCCATGATCAGAAAAGATAGTGAAGTCATGTGCTACTATATTCTTGGAAGAAAAGGTATTGTTTATGAATAATTTTCATGTTAAACTGAAGAACAATGATTGATCATCAAGAGGTCTTTTTGCCCAAGAGATTCCTTTCTCGTTCACATTGGGACTTTTTTTATGATGATATATATATATATATATATATATATGTGCGCGCGCGTTATTACTATTTTACATGAAAGTTTTGACGCGTACTTAATATGTCTACCCATAAAGGAAGAACGGTAGATATGTACATAAATTCCTTTAATGCGCCGTCTCTAATAGTCCCATCCCCAAGTGAAATAATTGAGAGACGAATAAAGGAAAAGACTCGATTCGACCTATATAACCCCACATGCGTGGATAAGATTGCAACTAACCGAAGGATAAGATTTCTGATGGAAAAACATACCCCGGGTAATATGCGGAAGCATTTCGATGTTGTCGTATCGAATCTCCATTCAGCACCGATTAAAAGATTGTCACGGGAAGGCTCATGATATTTCATCGTCAGAGCATGATCTTTATGTTCCAATTCACGATCTTTCTACGGTTATGATCATCAATACGTCCTTGATTGCTCACGATATGCGTGATTATTGTAAAGTCAGAACTCAAACAACGACGATAAATCTACAGTCTAAGAACACCTTTCGAGAAAATAAAGTGAAGAAGAATGAAGGACAGAGGGGAAGGAAGGAGAAAATATCACGTATCTAAGAAACTGACTCAATCTTAGTCTCAGTCTCACTCTGACATGTGGCAATATGGTCCTTAATTAAAATTTAAAGGACTCCTATTAGTTATGGATATTTCAGATAACTCACTAACCTACTATCTGAAGATTATTTATTAAATTAAAATCCAATTCTAATTAAATAAATAATACCACATGGCTCAAGCCACTATGATTATTGTGCTATTTATAGACCCAAACTCCAACAGCTTCAAACATAAGCAAAACTCCCTACAATAAGCGAACACTATAAACAAATAATTTGGAAAATATGCGGTTCCAATAAAGCATAGCTAGCTAGTTAGGAAAGCATATATTTTTTGAGACGGTTGTTTTCATGAGGTTCGTTTGCTATCTGCTAATACTTTTTTTTTTTTTTGGCAGGCAAATATACCAATACGTATACATACCATTTTCGATTCACTTCTTTGTCACTAATATTCTACCGAACTTATGCGACTAGACGACTAATTAATAATAAGAAGGAGAATTTGTACGAGTCCGGGGGAAAAGGGTGCGTAGACTTGCAACATCACTCCAAACAACGATATTCAGGCCACCATATTTATTAGTACCCAATCGCACAATCCCTCAATATCTACAGGATATGATATGTTTAACCAGAATATCGAACATGAATATATATCGTAGGCAGCTGTGTTTTGAGTTCAAAGTTGAACCGTGTTTTCCCAAATTTCGTAGGAGAAAAGTAGGTAAACCGTAATAAAAAATCCCAACACATGAGTATTCATGACAATTTTGGAGAGTATAATTACAGAGTTTTTTTTCTTTCCTTTTATGTAATAAAAAGTGAGACCGTTGGTATCCTTACACCCAACCCGGCGTCTATAAAAAAGGAATCAACTGGTTCCGTCAGTGTAATGGTCAAGGGCCTAAACCTATTATCCTGATCTCATTCACAATCCCGGTTTCACCAGTACCACTGGCCCCTTATACCCACCTATATGCGAGCATTACCACTTTTAAGGCTGAAACTCTTTTTTGTGAGTACGTGGGCATTCGAACCCTGAGCTCTGAATGAGGGAGACTTAGAGCAAGCAAATTCTGAGTGTGAATGAGGGAGACTTGAGATATGTATCTTTGTCACGTCCATGCCACGACCACCGGTGGTGTATTATTACAGAGATATGAACTCAAAACGTCCAATATTTTGATGACATATTAATTTATCAGTTCTTCTATAAACTCTTAGAAGGCAGGCCACTACAAATACTCACACTGCACATATATAAGGTATAATTCTTACTAATTTGAATTTCTTTTCCCATAAAGCTTTCTTTAATATAATATTATAGTTATAACAAGCCATCAAGGATCCAGCAGAATCCCAATTTAGTCTAACATAAGTAAGAGTCTCCTATATCATGGTGCCCGTGCTTCAAAGACAAGAGAATTTTCTTGAGGCTGTTGTTGTACACAAAGGGTCGCTCTATGTGAACAAGATGGCCAGCCTCTTTTATACCGTGTAGGGTTGCTTTATCCTCCAGTTGCCTGCAGTGATTTTAAAAAATTGTTGACATCTCATGAATAAAAGAAATTTAACGCAGAGTGAAATTAGTTTATAGATCGATATGTTACATACAATACCACGTCCTGGACCATTTTCAAGTTGAATATTTTGTCATCCTCTCCCACAAGAAAATGTATACTCTGCGCATGCAAAGATATAGTTTTTTAATAAATAAAAAAAGAATGGTCAACTCGTATAGAAGATTACAAAATAAATTTTTTTTTTTCAATATGTGGTTTTAGTGCACTGCTATCGTGTATAAAATGACAGTTACCATATATATATAGCACTTAATATATCGCCTCAGATTCCTCCTTAATTTCAATCATATCAAGTACTGGAAATTGATCAAAAAGAACTATATATGACAAAATTTTTGTGTGAACAAGAGTACCATGTCTTTAGCTTCCATACATATATATATAGATTATATGTTTGGTTACATATGTCTGGCTAATCATTCTTGAAGTAAAAGTAGAAGAATGCCAGAATGATGAATTTAACTTTAACAATTATGAATATACATACATAAATATGATATTATATTTTATATAGAAATTTTAAATAATTATATTTCCATTGATTGATATAACCTTATAAGAATCCAATTATATATATATATATATATAGACACACACACCTGCAGGGAAAAGTTAGGAATGAAGTAGTCCTCGTCATTTATGACTAAAGCCTCGAGAAGTTCAACTTTCTCCCTTCTGTTATTGAACATGACCTGCACATCATAAATTTATTGAATATATTAGCATTTCTCAGTGCTACTTGCTAATTTCGTAGATTAAACTTTAATTAGGGTACAGATATGCTAGATTAATCATATCCAAAAAAATTGTATCTGAGTTTGTTTTACGGAAGACTGAAAAGAATTCTATCAGATAATTGTTAGGTTAGATTCAAATGGAATAAAAATTGTGGCTGATAATTGGTGTATATATATTATTTGCCAGATACAGTCTAACATTTAGGTAATCGATCAAATCATAGATGGTAAAGTAAAGCTATTGAAGAAATGTACGAATAAATCTTTCTCGTGACTGGTAACCTGTAATATACTAGTCTGCTACAGTGCTCCTCGAAAAATAAATATTTCTCATGACTAACCTATAAATATAACTGCTCATATAATTCAATAAAAGACCTTATAGTTAGTGTACATATATTTTTAACTCTAATTGAATCCTTCTCCCCATAAATCGTTAAAATATGCTTAAAATTATATATACCTCCAAATAATGTCTAAAAGCCCAACTCGGAAACCACAGCTTTTTCTGAGTAACAACAAAGAAAAGCCTCTTCAAATCCTCAACAGTTTTCGGCACCAAAAGCTCGGACCAGGACTTAAACCCTATCCTCGGCAGTCTCTCGTTGCTTAACGACTGGGTCAAGCCCACGACCGAGCCAGACACCACCAAGTGCCGGACCAGCTCAGGCCACAGCTCGGCCAACTTGAACCCTACAAACCCTCCATAACTAAACGCCACCACTACACACCTCTCCACCCCCAAAAGCTTCAAGCCTTTCGCCAAGCACTCAGCTTGAAACTCAGGCGACCGTTTTCCGCTCTCCGAGAAAGAGTCTCCGAAGAAGAGAAAGTCCGGTACAAAGACCGAGAACTCCCTCGTTAAGGCCGGTATCTGGAACATCCACGTTACGACACCATTTGCTGCAAATCCATGAAGCAGAACAAGAACGGGTTTGTCTAGGGTTTTGGCTGAAACCCAAAAGTTCATGATTGTTCCTTGCTCAATTTCCAGTTTCTGCCGTTTTAGACCCAACAGGTTCATCGCTGCATGTAACAAAGGATTAACTAGGCATACAAATATGTTCACCATTTTTTTCTTTTTTGTTTTTTTTTTTTTTTTTGCTTGAATGGCTGGACAGCGTGATAGTGATGCCTTTCTGTACATATGCGTAATGTGATATTCTAATACATTCTATTTAGAGCTAGTATTTTTTTTCCCCTACTTTCAGCCAAAGATAAGGTTAGTTATGGGTGCAGTACTACTGCCTTCTTATTTTATACTTCAGTTATATATGATCGCCAGTTTTCTGAAGTAAGATATAATAAATAAATAAATATTCGCGTTGAATTCTTGCTATAATGTAAAGTTCTACCCGACAAAGCCACGAAAGAGCTCCAGCAGAGTTTATGGCTTTCTTTCCCTTGTGTCGACAATTTAATATAAGAAATTCCCACCCGCACCAGCTTGTAGCCTTATGCGAAGATATATATTAAAGCTGCAACTACTTTCATGACACCTTCAAATGGACGGCAAAAACATTTTACGTATATTTTAGAAGTTGCATTATAATAAAGTTCAAAGTTTACCAACAAAAATCATCCTGAAATTATCAATTGAGAATATTTGAAGAATCATCCATTTTACCACGTTAAGACACCATTTAGAGCTCGCTTAAGACACCGTTAAAAATTTTTCCTTTATCAAACTAACTACACAAGATTAAATTATCATTAAAAGGTTGACATCTCAATGATGACAGTACAAAAATTTCAATCTATGATCAGTTTTGGAAGAGAATTTTGTGTGATTTTTAGTTGTAAAAAGTAAAATGTGACAATTCTTATTTTTCTAGATCAAATTTAATTTTCTTTATGTGTTTGGGAGCGTTGAAAAGAGAGAGGAAAGAAAATAGAGGAAGGATTTTGGAGAGAAAAATGAAATTTTAGGTTGTTTGGTAGAGAGCAAATGAGGAATGAAAGAAAATGAAAATCTATGAGGCTCACAAGTTTTTAATCCTTCCAACTTTGGGAAGAAAAGAGGAGGGAAAAACACTGCAAGAAAACTTGGATTTAACTACAAACCATTTTTGTAGGTATATGTTAAAATTTTGTGGCTAAAGGAATTAGCTACAAATTTTTTATTTGTAGTTAGGTCATAGCTACATCGTCAATACTAAATGTGCCTAGCTACAAAAATTGTGTGTTTGTCGCTCAATGTGTTACCATTAGCTACAAATAAATTTTGTAGCTAAATGTGATAATTTTAAGTACAAATCATTTTGTAACTAAAGACTAAAAGCTTTGTAGCTAATTTGACAAATTTGTAGCTAAAAGTTAGTCTTTTAACTACAAATCAACATTTTGTCACTAACTCGGATTGAGAATTAGTGACAAAATGCTAATTTTCTTTTTAAAAAAATTTGTACCAAATTCCATATTTCAAATATTCAATTGAAAAGGATTATTCATCATAACAAATCTCAGTTCCAATACTAAGATTATTCACATCAATCTAATACTAACTAGTTAAAAGGAAAGTATTAATCAGTCTAAGATTAACAGTTATACTGTTTAGATTCTATACACGTTTCTGTTAAAAATTTCATACGCAAGAAGCTTGGCCTTGTTCTGAAGAATCTGGTTCTGGAATTACTGCCACTGCCTCTTGTCCTTTGGCTGGTTGGGTGGAATTTTTGCTCCTCTTATTGCAACATTTGGGAATTCCTCTTCCTTCTAAATTTCGCCATCCAGAGACCGCACTTGATTATTTTACACTTCAGTAATCTGTAATTATTAAACAGCAATGATCAACAAAAACTAGCATATTATATAAGAGATGAAACAAGGTCAGTAAATCCGCGGACTACTTATTATAGTCCCAAGTCTTTAATTTTCTCATTCCTGTGATAATCAGTTGAAAAGAATCAGACCCAGTGGCCAAAAAATGCACAATTTCCTCACTCGGGTTTGCCTAGATCTCAGCTTTAGTGATCACAAGCTCGCTGGAATTTGGTTCATGTGGGTTCATTGGAAAGTCGTTCAAATTCAAGGTCTAATTGTAAGTTCATTGTGAGGTCAAATTCTTACAACCTTATACTCATTATAAAGTGCAAAAGATGAAAAAAAAAATACATAAATTGAGCAATAATTTAGGGTTAAAAGTGTCAATACCTGGAGTATTTGTGAACGAATAAGCTCCCCCTAGCATATCACGTCGCATGGCAGCAAGCGAGCTTGTAGCTCAGCCTTCATGCGCTCCATGAAAGATGTCTCAAGGGAGGCTTGCTTGTTCTCTAGCACACGAATTCTTTCCAACAGCTCGTCGTTTTTCTTCTCAGCAGCTTCTGCTCGTTGCTTAGCTTCTTGTGCATCTTTACGGAGCTGCTCATTGAGTTCTTTGACTTGTATGTGTTAGGTTTTGGTCCAGCCCCTAAGCCACGCACATACCCCGATTATAGCGGCATCACACAATCGAAAATTTCATCAAGCGTCCTTGAACCTTCCTCATCCATTGTTTCATATTCAAGGTCGGTAACTATGAGTGAAGTGCATCTTATATCATTGACATAAAAACCTATAGAGACAAATTTAAAGGAATTTTGGGTCTGTCAATAAAATTTTAGAGAGATTTCGGATGAAAAATTATTCACCAAGTATAGCTCCCATTGTGAAGGGTGATAGACTCAATTTGGCCCAATGCCCAAAAAATGATTTTGAAAGGGAACAAATGAAGAACATTCCATATGCTTATGTTGTTGGCCCAGTGTCAATCATAAATGCACGATATTGTTAACAAGTAATAAAGAGTGGCGACATTATTAAATAAGTCATCGCAAAAAATAGTCGTTCTTGATAGAATTTTCTGTAACCTTTTTTTGTGATGATACGTGTCGTCGCAAAAACAGTCGTCCTGAAATTTTCTGAAACTATTTTTTGCGACGACTTTTCAATATGTCGTAGCAAAAAATAAAGAACTATTTGTAACTTATTCGCGGGAAACTGCCAAATTTTCTACCTCTTTTTGGCCACATCACCTCCAGCTATAGCTATTAATATTTGCGACGACATGTCGTCGCAAATAAAGGACAAACTAGCACCAAATTAGTTTTGGCACCAACGGATATTAGCGACGACATTTTGTCGCCAATAAATCAAATTTTAGCAACGATATGTCGTCACAAATAGTGAAATTTTGTGCAACGACATGTCGTCGTAATTAGTGAATGTGACGACAAGTCATTCAAAAATTTTATTTTCTTTTTGGCGACGACATATCGTTGCTAATGTTGTAATTTTAGCAACAATAAATGTCGTCACTAATAACCCTTTTTGTTATAGTGTTAATTCTAGTGTCTACTAAAATTAATAATGGTAATATTATCAATGTAATTACTAAAAGGACCTTTTCATAATTAAATAATCAGTGACTATATAGTAATTCATTAAAATAGATAAATAAATTTAACATTTCTTTTCTTTAACAGGGAATCAATACCAATGTGACGTATTGAGATTTTCTTTCCTCATTGTCTATAAAAATTAAGCTTTTATGGATAAATAAATTTCATAGATCAACATAAATGTATTTGTTTTAGGATACTAAGCTTAACAAATTCCTATTTGCCCTAAATTAGTAGATGTGTAACATGTTATGCGTCTCATGCTCTCAACATGACACTTGAGCTTTTAGCCGCCAATGTCTTTGTAAAATGATCGACAAGAGTGTAGAACGCGATCTTGCAAGTACAACTACATCTCTTAGCATTATGTGATCAGTTGCCTATCTTTTATTAATAGGTGTTTAAATTAAAGATTGCAACATTAATTGGAATGAAAGGATTATATCTGTCTCCAATACAAAAATGACAAATCATTGAACACATTAATCGATTTAAAAAAATAAAAAAATAAAAATTAAGACTCCTAGCCCTGCTAAAAAAACACACATACCCAAACTTCCTTTTTCGTATGGTACACTGAGTGAGAAATAGGATTAAGCTTGTAAGCTATGCTAGACCCATCTTTGGTGCCTTATTTTTGATCGGATAAAAAGGAAATGAGACAAATACCTTTTAAGAATGTATGTGTTTAGATTTTTATCATGTACTATTGATTAATACTCTTTTTAGTCAAATAACTATAATAGTAAAATAGTATTAATCAAGAATAAAGATAAAAATTCAGACTCATGCACTTTTAATGGTAAGTTCTATCAATTGTATCCTGGATAAAACATCTAAGATCACAAGCTTTTCCCATTTACATACATATGGATAAGAAATTCTACTGAGAAGTGTTGGATTATTAATACCAAGCCATAATTCAAGCCCCAATTGTGGTGGGAGGGAACCACTTTTAAGGGTTTTCTTTACTTTATTTCTGTTTTCAAAATAAATTAACATATTTTAAAATTTAAAGTTGATTAATCATTTTTTATTTATAGAAATATAAAATTAATGCAATCCAACCCAAAATAGCACAAAACATAATATGAATATATGATAACTATATTACGTAGGGTAATTATGTAAAACTTAAACTAGAAAATGTGAATATATAAATAATAACCCATTGTTGGGTAACAGTTCTATAAAATGTCGCGCATTCCAAATTCCTCAGAAGCAGCAGTAGGCGGAGCAAATTACAGCCCAAAAAACGATATATTGAAAAACAAAAGCAAAAAAATAAAAAAGAATAAAGAATAAAGAATAACAGTAAAAAATTAAGAAAAGAAAAGAATAAAAGAAAAACTAAAAAGATCTGGATCAACAAAAGCAATTAGGGGCAACGTCTACGTCTAGTCTAGCACTCTTAACGTTTCCGTTATTATTCCTGATTTTACTTTTTGTTAATCCCGAGTCTAACTAAGTAAAGAAGTAGGCACACAACCACGAGGATTTTAGTCGTCACTTATCAATTCATGGCAATATATATAAGAAAACTAAAGTTCACAAGTTAAGCAAATATTAAAAGTTAATGATAACGAAAAAGAAAATTGAAACGAAACATTTAGTTCTCTAAAAGCGATTGCTTGACGTATACCAATTGGTGAGGTTTATGTTTTCTGATTTTTGTTTGAAATAAAAAAAAAATCAACAATCATTTCATGAACACGGAAACACTTTTCATGGCAAACTTGTTAAGTTACGAGTCTTACGACCTTTTCATTTATATTATTATTTACATAGAGACTAGAAATAGAAATATGAACGTTAATTAAGTTGTTGGTCAAGCAAGCTAAGCACTAAAAAATGAACTTAATTAAATCACAAAATATTCTTGTAACATTTATAGTCATTACCATTATATGTGACTAAATGTACTTTTGAGTCACGATCTTATGACTAACATGAACTTTGTTACAAATTTTTAGTCACGGGAACTTTTTTGGCATGACAAACATTTTACCGTGACAAGAAAACTCATGTCTAAAAGTTTTAGTTACACTAAAAATTATTACGACCAAATGCATATTAGTCATAGGGTTGTGACTAAAAAGTGACATAATTTAGTCACGTAAAAATGTTGTGACAAAAAATATCACAAGAATCTGTCCCGACACAAAGTTCATTATTTTGAAGTGATAAAGGCCTAACATCATATTAAGGATACAAGGAAAACGTACACCAAGCACCATGCACCACTCAGAATATTTTTTTACCAAAATATGTGGGTGCAATTATTTCAAAGAGAGGCTTTAAGAATATCCTTGAGGAGGCGATTGTAGACAAAGGGTCTCTCGACGTGGGCAATGTGGCCCGCCTTCTTGATATAATAAAGAGTGGCTTTCTCCCCTAATTGCCTGATAATATGGAGAAAGATTAATCTCGGATTCTTTTTTTTTTTTCATTAAAGATAAAGGATAAAAACATTATATATTAGAGGGTATATATGAAGAATACATGATGGTAATGAATTTTCAGAGGGACAATATTTGCTTACTCCTTTGTTTTCTGGACGATTTCGAGATTGAAAAGCTTATCCTCCTCGCCTGCCATGATATATACTTTCTACGTACGTACAGAATGTATAATTAACCAAAAGGAAATTATGACTCAACTATATACAACAAATCCCTAATTAAATTCAAAATTCAAGTTAAAACGGGGCATGAATAAAATGTAATAATCTTATACGGTTCCATTCAAAATTACATTATGATTGATCGCTAATATGTAGCAAAATTACTCTTCTATTGCAAGGTTTATTTCCTAGTTGCTAGCTAGTTAATAATTTGATCTTGCCATTTAGTACTTACTTTCTGCGGTTTATTTCCTAGTTGCTAACTAAAATCAAAATTGGCGTACGTCTCTATTTCAAACATGCATGATCTAACCTTTTTTTTCTGTAGATTTGAAATCTCCCATACTAAGTTCAATAAAAAAAAAAAAATTATAACTGTAAAGACATTGATGACGGAAAATAACTTCATAGTTACACGTAGAAGCAATTCACTTTATGAAAATCGAAAACCAGAAACCATCGGAAATAAAGCTCGTCATTTAGAAATTCATAGTGATATGAGCTTTCCAGAGAATGAGCTCATGAAAAATGAAAGAAAAATACAAGGATGAAGAAGGAAAAAATAGTTGTAAGGAAATTTTTGGAAATAAAGAGAGTACAAGACGCCATTATGTACATTTCAAATTTAACTTATAGGCTCTTCAGAAACAGTGGGACGTATTATTTGTTAATAGGTACGTTCCCTATTACTGCATTGGAATGAAATAATTGCTAAAAGTATCGGTGCATTACTGCATCAGTACATAAAAACGTAAAAATTAAGCTATTGGGGCGTATTATTTTTGGCGCTTCTTTTCTTCTTTTTTTTTCTCGTGAACAACCCAATTCATTTTATGCAAATTTAGTTTCAATATATATGTGTGAGAACGAGTTTTCAATGGCTATATCTTCATGATGGTTTCTCATAATGTGTGTAATTTATTCTGTTCTGTAAATATTTCAAATAACAAACTTGATCATAGTTAATAACAATGGATACGGATCAATTGGGCAAATAAAATATTGAAAATAAATTAAAATGAGTGTCATATTTATGATGCTATAAAAAGTCGGTTGCAAATAACTAGGATAATTTGGGGTTATGAAAGTTAATAACTTTTTTTTTTTTTTTGGCTCAGGAAAACTAAGAGTGTTTGGTAGGAAAGAAAAGTAGAAAGAAGGAAGAAGGTGGAGGGATTTTGAGAGGGAAAATGAAAATGTAGGTTGTTTGGTTTGGTAGGAGAGAAAAAAGAAAAGAAGAGAAAATGAAGTGAAAAATAATACATGTGGGCTCCACCATTTTTTTTCTTTCCACAAGTGGGTAGAAAATGGGATGGAAAATGGGGACAACTCATTAAAGTGAGCAAAATTATTAAATTATCATTTTCTCCATTAACATCCAAGCAAAAAATTTAAGGGTATAAAAGTAATTTACAAGTAAGATTTTTTCTTTTCTCCCAATTTAACTTCCAATACCAAACAAGTGAATGTAAGCTCATTTTCTTTCCAACTTCTCATACCAAACAACATAAAAGAAAATCAATTTCCTTTCCATCATTGATATTTTTCATCACTTTCATATTTCTTTTTTATCCTATTTTCTTTCTTTCTTACCAAACATAGCATAAGAGTAAATTAATTACTGGCCATAAACCAACAATAATTAGTTCTGCAAGAATTTGTTATTAAATTGACAATGGAAAAAATAGATGATGTACCTGTAAAAAGTTGGGGATGATGAACTCGCATTCCTTGATAACAAGAGCATTCAAAAGTTCAGCTCTCTCTTTTCTACTATCGAACATCACCTGTCATTAGTGTTGGCATGTACGGTCTCAAATGTCACTATAGTACAAAAAGGTTAATAAAAGACAGTTGGACTCGTTCACTTCGCTAATTCGAGTTTAAAATTCGAGTTGAGATGTGATTTTATGTGAGAGCTTTTTACTGTAATAAAAAAGTTAGATGTGATTGTTTGTGAGAGCTTTTTACTGTAGAAAAACTCAAATTCTAAACTCGAATCAGCGAAGTGAACGGGGCCTAAAGTTAAAAAACGAAGTCCGCTTTTTGAAAAACAATTGTTAAATATACTAAAAAAAAACCACAGAATGTACGATATATGTTTTGTATTTTAACATATTAGTAATCGGTCGCTTAAAAACTGTTGTTATTTATAATAAATGACAACAGTTAACTAAGCATCTGACGTTATATTATATTTTTAAATCTGGTTAGCTATGCACAACTTTAAAAACAAATAAGCAAATTCGGATAAAGTGTAGCCTGTCTTTAAAAATGTATGATATACACAACTAGAACTATATATATATATATTATACATATATATGATCAATAATGAGTGTTCTATAAATAACTGTATTGGTACATTATCCTAAGATTGGATCAAATTATGATCAATAGATAAATTACATGGCATGATTCATGTATAATCTTGGTCCACTTGCGTGTACGGGAACTGATCATAAATAACTTCAACTAGCTATCTTTTAGGTGGGGACATATGAAGAGTACGTGTTAATGAAATTGTGAAGTGTGTGGTTTACAATGAAAAGAAAACCATTCAAACAGATGTGCACGTAGCTCTTATCCATTTCGAAAGTGGTTTGTATGACTATCAAAACGTACACGACGAAGCGGTTTGGACCATCAATCAAATAAAGAAAAAAAAAATAACCATCAATTTGTAGCTTTATATGCCTTAAAAATAAATTTTCTTGACATTTAATGTCGTCTACAATTTTTTGTTTTCCATAATCAGACATTAGATTTAGCCATCATTAAGAACTAAACGAGACGTGCTAATTGAGTTGACCTTCTCAAAATACTCTATCTACGAGCAGAGGGGGAAAAAAAGGGAAAAAAAAAGGAGAGTAACGAGCCTCTAGGGTTTCAAAGACAGGCTAAAGAGAAGAAATTAATAATTTTAAAAAAGAAAAATAAGAGACAACAGGGGATAGTAAATCACAATATCTACTCTGAGAAGGATGCCTTATTACTTAAACATGGTAAGAACAAAATAATCCAATGGAAAGCAAAAAAAAAAAAAAAAATCCAAACGAGAAAAAAGAATGCCTGCTTTTGATCCGAAGCTACAAAAATACAAACAATACGTCAAACTGAACCAGACACCCAAGAAGTGACAAACCTTCGTCAAACAACTTCAGATGATTAGTGAACATTTAAAGCATTAAATTGGATAAACTTTTGTCCAGCCTATGTATCCTTTTGATGGGATGTTGTTATCCCCTGCTGAAGCATGAGATAACTTTTAACCAGAACACATTGTGAAAAACACTAAGGATCTATTTGTAAATTTTCATAAAATTGAGCTAGTTGTAATTTTCAAAAAAAAAAATGGTCAAATTGCAATTAAACTAAAATCTAATCTTATCTTAACCCTAAATTTACAAAAAAAAAATTACAAAACACCCTTATCTTAATAACATAACACCAAATATGGGATTGAATTAAAATATCCAAAAAAAAAACATGGGATTGAATTAAACTAAAATCTAATCTTATCTTTTTCGATACATTTCAATCCACGACTCTAAAACTATGCTATGTTGTCCTATGACTCCTATCATACGCACCAAATGGGGCCTCAATGATTATGCTTGAATGTTGGGGCCTCAATGATTATGCTTGAATGTTTCTAACGTTACGAAAAAAAAAAGAAAAAAAAAGGAAAAATTATTTCATAACTCAAGATTAGTCATTCGATAATTAGGATATCATGAACAAATCCCAGAAGAACGCAATAACCGTAAGCAAACCTCCAAAAAGTGCTTGTAAGCCCAATTAGGAAACCAAGGCCGCTTGTAAACTATAACACGCAAGAGCTTTTTCAGACCCTCAACGGTATCCGGGAGCAACAGCTCCGGCCACGACGTGATCCCGACCCTCTCGAAAGCAACTTCGCTGTGAGATTCCGTGAGGGCCAAGTTAGAGTTGGACAGGACCAAACACTTGACCAACTTTGGGTCCAACAACGCCATCTTTGACCCGACAATCCCACCATAACTGCAGCCGACGACCGCGCAACTCTCCACGCCGAGCAATTTTAGGGCCTTGGCCAAGCAATCGGCCTGGAAAGCTGGCGACCGGTCGGTGCTGTCGGTGGTGGAGCCACCGAAGAAGAGAAGGTCCGGCACAAAAACTGCGTACTTTTTAGAAAAGGCGGCAATCTGGAAAAGCCATGTCAAGACTCCGGTTGCACCGAAGCCATGCAGCAAGACTAAAGCAGGCTTAGTCTGGCGGTATTTCTTTTTATTTTTTATAATCCGGGCCGGTTTCCAGAAGTGGATCACCGTTCCGGGCTCGATTTCCACAGTTTGAGCACTTAATCCGTAGAACTTCAACAAGAATCCCACTACTGGATTCACTACTTTCATGAGGTTCACCATCTTTTTTTCTGCTGCTTTCTCTGAATTTTCTGGGCTTATTTTATTCTCTCAGCTCGGTTTTCACGTCTAAATGTTTGCTGGTACCCACTCAGTGGCTCGTCAATTGAAGATGAGCGGGACAGCCGTCCCACTCAAATTTATTTTTAAAAATATATTATTTTTAAAAATTTTAAAATTTTATACTTAAATATTTTTTAAAATAATATATGTTCTTATTAAAATAAATTATATCTCAATTAAAATAAATATATTTTTTTATATATCTTTATTAAAATAATTTATTAAAAAAAATTAATATACACTCTATTAAAATAAAAGGCTGACTTTACTGTACCTACTATCCTATCGATTATTAATAAATTTGGTACTTGACATTGACTTGGAATCTTCCTTAGTTTGAAAGCGCAAATGTAAAATCAATTAATGTGATTAAAACTTTGATTTATATCTTTCAACTCTTTATGTATGTTACAATATACCTTGTTATAAAGCGCCGATAAATGCATGTAGCAATTTAACTGATCTGTAAGTTACGACAACATTTTTAAACTTTAAAACAATTGGGAAAAGGGGGTAAGTATCACTAACCTTCTTGTAAAAATAATAATAATAATGATACTAATAATAACAATAATAATAAAGAAAACTCATATTCACAGGCGTTCCTTATTTTTACTAATATTACAGTGGTACTTCCCTTTCAAAATAAATAAATAAATATGTGTGTAGATATATATTATACCGACACACTTTTATTGAATTTCATCACAGTAAGACTCCTGTCACAGTTAAAATTTTTTAGAATTCTCTTATACTACTGCTATAACGGTTAAAAAAAAGACAGTTTAGGGTGCTAAAATATAAACATAAAAGTGCAAATTTATAGCCCCTCAAACATTATACAACCGACATATTTCTAAGGACAAATTTGGTTTTCATGGAATATTTTTTTATCATTTGTTAATTTTCTCTTTTATCTCTAGAGATCGTCTTTTTAGGCCTTCCATTTGCTTTAGAAAATTTAAAAAGAAAGGGAAAAAATAAAGAAAAACAATTCCATCTCTAACATATATGTTGGCCTCCATTTTGTCCATTTTTGCACAATGCCTTCTCTCTTTTTTTCCTTTCCTTTTTTTTTTTTTTTTTTTTTTTTTGGTCCTCTTTCAATCTTTAATACCTTATACTTGATTTTGTAATAAACAGATAAATGTTTTAGACTCACTGGGTAGGAATAAAATGATGACTTGAGCGGAAGCCCAACCAGTGGAAACTTGCTATATTAAGGATATATAGTTAACAGTTACGTTTCACAAAAGAAATAAAATTTGTCATTTTTCCCCACATCGTGTAATTTTTCTTTCTCCCTATAATTTAGTGGATATGTACTTAATGGCTTGGAGTTGAATGTAATATCATACGAATTTTAATTACCAATTACAAAATCAGAAAGAATAGAAATTAAGATCTCAAGAGTTAAGCGAAAAAACTAATGCAAAATGTGAACAAAAGAGAGGCCAAAAAACTTTGGAGATACAAATTCCAAAACCAAATGCAAATGAAAGGCTTGAAAGATGATCATACTAAAAGATAATAGGGTTAATTTAAAAAAAAAAACAAAAAAATCAAAAATAAAACATTTGACAGATTTTTAAACTAAATTCGTGCATAAGAATATGTGGGTTTGTATAATTCTTGAGGGATAAAAACATCATTTTATGCATCTTTTTTCACTAAATCTTTTCTTTTATCATATAGGGGCATTTTCAGTGTTTTTAAAATTTTCCATGCTTTGAGAGCATCACCATAATCATGTTTGTTAAACTGTGAAAGGGGCTCTCAGTAAAAAAAATTCATAAATTAAATAAAAAAAAGGGACAAAAAAATTTAACGTGGTTCAATTAAGGTTGTACCTAGCGTACATCCACGGAAGAGAGAAGAGGTGGAGTATCTTGAGCTCTCACTATAACCACCCGCAAATGGCCTCATTTAAATACAAAGTACAAAGGTCATCTATAATTAGCCAGTAATACAGTCAAACAATCGACTTATCATATTTTTAAATAACACAACTTACATGCCACAAATTAGACATAACATTTGACATAATCGTAGATTGAATCTGTCTCTAAAAGAATTAGTCCCTTCAAAGCGGTCGTCTAAGAGTGGCATCTATCCAAAGAAAGTCAAACAAACATTTAGCATTAAGAAATTTGCCCCCTTTAACTCGCTTATTTAAAATAAATAAAAAAATGTATGCCAAGCAAACAATGAGCCTTTAGATTTTCCATTTGTTAGAAGCTCATTAATTTTCTTCTTCTATCTAAATCTTACTTTTAACAATTATCGCGGCTACTTTTTCTTCTCTTTGTTGGATTGAGAGAATTCCCTTCTTTTTTACATGACTTTTTCTGAGAGTGGGATAGAAAATTAGGCACGTAAGTTTTTCTTTCTCTAAATTTATGATTTTTCCACTACCACTCACTCATAACTCTCTAACATATATAAACTACTAGTTCGAGTTTAAATGCATGTCTTTTCACGTATTTTTCCAATAGTTTCATTTTTTGTCCTTTTTAAGGGTGTGCAACAAACCATTCAAACTAAACTAAAAGAAAACCAAACCAAATTAATTAATAATCATTTTGGTTTGATTTAAATTTAAAAAAAAAACAATTAAATTAATTTAGTTTGTGATTTTACCCTTGAAAAAACCACACCAAATCAAACCAATTTCTATCTATATAATTTTCCTAAAATTATATATATTTCATATATCATTCACTTATTTATATTTAAAAAAACTCTTTTATTCCAAAATTAAATTATCATAACTCTAAAGGTTTCTATCATAACCTATAACATCAACGGCAATTAACACACATGAGCTAAACTCGTAGACAAAAACTTGAATTCTGCACGTCACACGTTATTCGTTGGCCTTCTATATATACCCCAACCGCAAAATTGATGAACATGACACGATTAAATGCAATTGGGACCCTTTTCAAAGCAAAACGTGTTTAATGTTTTTTTTCATATTCTGATTTTAACTCACCAAACAAGTTAGGTAAAGTCAAAATAATTATAGACATATGGAAAGTTTGAAACAAATGGGTATAAGATTAACCATTAGACTTATTCTACACTTTTAGCTAATTGATAATCGAAAAACTTTATCATACATTTCTTTGCCGTATCTAAATTTTTTTCACAATTTAATTAAATTTAAAAATTATTATAATCCATGAGTGGAAATACTATATATTTGACGCACTATTTTTGAAGCGCCCTTATAAATCAAACTGTTAAAATTTAATCACATGACAAATAAAATTCTCTCTAGTGCTAGTAAAACAACGTGTCTTAACGTAAAATTTTCCTTAAAAATTTTACTTAAAAACATAAGTAACTAACAAGATGGTATGTCTAAAGATATGGGTTTTAACTCTGTTGGCCCCCTATACATCTTTATCCTCGTAACCTTGTCAAACATTTATCCAACATTTTTTTTACACTACTAAAATTCCTAACCTTATAATGAATTGCATTAAAAGTTAAGGCCCAAGATAAATGTGTAAAGTATGGGGCTATTTTGAGATTTAACTCAAAAATAAAATATTATAAAAGATTTGCTGGCAACCACACCAATTTACTTTTTTTTTTAAAAAGGAAAAAAGAAAGTGGGAGAGACAATCAAGCCAATTAAATTGAGTTTAGTTTTGTTTAATCGGTGTCCATGATTTTGTCGATTTTTTAAACACATCTATTTCTGATTTTATTCTTATACTTTTACCCATACTTACTAAATGCATATTAATTTATCTGTTTATCTCTCTCTTTTTCCCTGTTCATGAGAAATGGGATTTGCACAAAGAAAACGAAAAACACATTTTTTTTTCTTTTTTCTTTTTTTTTTCTTTTTTCTTTTTTCTTTTTCTTTTTGCTGTCACCCCCCAAATCTTGGGCATCAACTGTGGACAAATTAAAAGGACACTCGTCGAAATTCTTAAAATGGTAAGACGGATTTTTCTCACATTGTCGAAAGACTCGAGTCATTTAAGAGGCTACTCCTTTTGCAGAACTTGTTGGTACTTCTCTAGTAAGGCCTGATCCGTTCTTGCAGGCCCAGATTCAATTTTCGTCCGAAAAGTACAGCTTAACGTGTTGGGGTTCTTCTTTTGCATTTTTTAGGTACAGTGATATGAGTGATGATATTGAGTTGTAATTTGAGTCGTAACTTAAGTTATGATTTGAACTGAAAATTTTTTTGAGTTTATATTTGAGTGTGTCAAAACTTAAATTTGTATTTAGATAATATTTTAATAAAAACTCAATGGTAATGAAAAATTTTAATAGGGTATATAGGTGGAGTTTTATTCATCTTTTCGTTGTGAATGCATAGAAAAAAAAATCATCTCAATCAAAATTAAAACGAAAAAGTTATTACATTTTTAAGAATAGAAAAAATATTATTCATTAACTTGAATTCAAATTTATGAACTTGAATTAAAGAGAAAACTCATACTCAAATTTAGCCCTAAATTTGAGTTTACACTCAAATTTAAACTCAAATTTTATAAAAAATAATAATAATAATAAATTTAAATAAAAGTGTAACTGGAGTTTAAACTTTTTTTGAGTTTTGTTGGAAAAGAGCAAGCCCACTCCTTTTGCAGAACTTGTTGCTTCTTCTCTAGTAAGGCCTGATCCGTTCTTGCAGGCCCAGATTCAATTTTCGTCCGAAAAGTAAACTTAACTTAACCTGTTCCAACAGACCCTTCAAAAACAGTTTTTAGCACAATCGCCTCCCCTCTCCCTCAAAAAAAAAAAAAAAAAAAAGGGTTTTTTTAGCATAATTATCCCCTAAACTTGTTGTGATTTAGTAAATTACCCCATAAACTTTTAATTTTGATAATCAACCTAAACTTATAAAATTATTACAATGTATCCGATTTTACTAAATAATTTGCTCAAATATTTTATTAGATTTAAGGGATTAAAAGTTTGGGAATTGAAATATTTGTGTTACATTTGAATTGGAATGTTAGAATTTGTTATTAATGGTGTTTTTTCGACACTAATTAACACAATTATCGTCAAAATAAAGCCTATCGCAATAATTTTACAAATTACTTGCCAAACTTAAAAGTTCAAGCAGCAAATTGCTAAAGCAATACAAGTTTAAAGGCAAATCTGTAAAATACCCAAAAAAGTTTCAAAATAAGTAAAAATCCAATACTATAGAGGAACATAAAGGCGTTTCAACTAAGGATTGAAAAATCGGTATTTCCATCGATATTTTTGCAAAAGTTCCATGTTTTAAAAATATTGATATGGAGATAGGAGTGTAATACCTTTTTCGTAGAATATCTTGAACTTTCTTCAAAATTTCCAAAAATATCAGTATTCTTACAAAAATGTCAATTTCTGTGAAAAATATAGTGTTTAATGACAAAATATTGTAAAAATTTATTGAAATATTGGTAAAATTTCTAGGAAGTATTGATAAACTTTATATTTTTTACAATTTACTTTTTAGTATTGTAAAATTCATGACATTTTTTACTTTTATGATCTGAAAGTAGTCACTCTCTCTCTCTCTTTTTCTTTTTCTTTTGTATGATACCATGCCTGTAAGATATCTCCATTAGGTTGACTTTTAAGGGAACGTATGCTTATCATATATGGTATGATCACTCTTTAACATGCATATCATACAATTGGAATCAAGAGGTGAATCTAGGGCCATAGAGTTGTATCATTGAGGATCGATCAAACATTCGAATTCATCTACTGATCAAAAACTTTCTGTGAGGCATAAGAACTAACATAGGACTATAAAAGCCAAAGTTCAAGAACATAAACCGGAGACCTTACAATAGTGTAATCATTTAGGACACGAGCATATAACATTTTGACTTTCACCCAAATAACATGTGACATAAAAAGGAAAAATATTAAAAAAAAAAAAATCATGGACAAAGATACTATTTAAATCAAGATGGTTAATCTATATCACAATCTCCTTCAATCAAATTCACTCCAGCTTCACTGGATACATATCAATGCAATCTGCCCATGGACTATTGCTAGAAGGCTTCACATTCCTAAGAGCCTGCCAAACAGCACTGTTACATTTAAACCCACTTCCAAACGCAATCTGCCAAATTCTGTTCCCCTTCCTCATCCGCCCTTTCGCCTCAATGTAGGCGAGCTCGTACCAAATCGAGCTCGACGAGGTGTTCCCGAACCGATGGAGCGTCATCCTCGACGCCTCCACGTGCTCGGGAAGAAGCTGCAAATTCTTCTCCAGCTCATCAATCACGCCTCTCCCGCCCGCGTGTATGCAGAAGTGGTCGAAAGCGAGCTTGAAATCGGGTATGTGAGGCTTCAATTTCGCGGCCGAAAGCTTCTTCAAAACCAAAGTGAGGAAAAACAAAAGCTGTTCACTTATTGGAAGGACAAGAGGACCTAATGTGGTGATATTACTCTTGAGAGCTCCCCCGGCAATTGCCATAAGATCCTTAGAAAGTGAAACCCCGGTTTTCCCGGCATCGTCCTGCTCCTGAAAAACGCAATTGTAGGCCTTGTCATCAGCCCCCTTATGAGTCCTCACCACATGGACGAGCTTGTACTTGGCCCGCCGCCTGTCCGACGACTTGTTCGAGAGCAGAATCGCGGCGCCACCGACGCGGAACAAGCAGTTTGGGATCAACATAGATTTCTTGTTCCCAAAGTACCAGTTCTGAGTAATATTCTCGAAGCTAACAACAACAGCATAAGTATTCCTATGGACTTGTAACATGTCTTTGACCAAATCAATGGCTATAACCCCGGCACTACACCCCATGCCTCCCAAATTAAAACTTCTAATATTCCCCCTAAGTTTATATTTATTCACAATCATTGAAGAAAGCGACGGCGTTGGGTTAAAAAGGCTACAATTCACCACAAGAATCCCAACATCTTTTGGTTTAACATTAGTTTTAGCAAACAGATTATCCAAAGCGCCAAACATCACCTGCTCTGCCTCTTCGCGGGCTTTCGCCATCGTTGGACGCGGAGGAATCATGTGCATGGCTTCCGGGCAATATGTTTCTTCCCCGAGACCCGATCTCTCCATGATTTTGCGCTGGAACTCCAACGACGAGTCTTCGAAATCGCCGGTTAGCCTCGAGTGCTTCATGAACTTCTCGTACGTGACCTTCAAATGAGCCGGGGGATGATAGCAGGAGTAATCAATGAGGTAGACCGATCTGGGGCGGGTCATGATGTAAACGGTGGAAGCAAAAACGACGACAGTGGAGACAACAACGACACTTGCGAGGTTGTACTGGAGGTGGAGCCAGAGCTCGTCGAGGTTCATCTTGGAAGCCTCGACGACAGAGACCGCCATAAAAGGGACCAAACAGAGAGTCAAGAGGTGTGTGATAAAATAATGATACCCGAGTTTTACGTACTTCACGTTTACGCTCTGTGAGAAATAGGGCAATATTCTCCGAGCCTGGTGGACGTGAGCTCCGCCATTGGCGTTAATGTCGGAGCCCATTTTTTATTTTTATTTTTAGTTTGAAGTATCAGTGGAGTGGTCTGCAATGCTCGAGAACGAGCATTTATAAATGGAAAAGAAAGGTAAAAAGTAGTATGTGCTGGTTAGACAAAATGGGGATGCAGGTTTTTAGAAAAGTTGGTGTGGTGGGGTTAAGAAAAGGTTAATTGTTTGATACAACTACATCAACGACCAGAACGAGGCGTAACACGTAGAGTTTAATTCGATAACATCATCATGGAGAAGACAATGAGTCAGAGACGTTTTAGGGGAGGAAATCTTGGTCTTTTTTTTTTCTTTTTGGGGTACTTTTGCTTTGGGAGCATTAGAAAGAATCGCGTAGTTCAGGAAAAATGTGAAAGCTCATTAGTCTTCAATCATGTGTTTTTGAGTACCCAGAAATTTGCTGCGCAAAAGATTTAGGCCCACCATTTCAACATTACTATATATATAACTTAGAATATGGTTGAGTAACCACACTACTATTTAGCTTACCACTAAAAATAAATCGTATATGGATCTAATAAGAATTTATTAAAGATTAAACGGTTGAGATTGTACATTATTGTCAGTGAAGTATTCTTTTTTTATACAATACGAGATCGAACTAGGAAAATTAATAATAATAAAATAATAAGATCAAATTTTTAATAATTTGAGGGAATTATGTATATATTAGTTTAATAAATTACAAATTATAATTTTTTCAAAAAACAAATAATAATAATAAGTTGAACACCGATTTGAGCTCCTACTGAGCCTTACTTGGCTCCATGCATGACTCTATCATGCGTTGCTTCATTGAGTGATGATTGGCATAAGTGAAGTATTTTAGGGTCCGTTTAGATGTGACTGTTTTTTAGAGTTTTTTATTATAATAAAATTTAAATTTTAAACTCGAATCGATAAAATAAACGATCTTATTGTACCATATATATCAAAACAAAATTATATTTCTTCAATCTTACTTAATACACAAGTGTCCCATTATTGAATGGGACGTCCACCACAGTGGAGAAGGCAACGAGTCAGAAAAGTAGGACAAAACCTCAATTAATAGAGCGCCTAGTTCCATATATAATTAGGAACCCTTTTTTTGCCTTGAGATCCTCAACCTTTACTACATATAGCAAAATGGTCCCTTTAGTGTTAAAATGCCCGAGGTTTCAAAACTGCATCCGCCTAATTTATAGTTTGAGAGACATAGCGAGTTACTCCAACACCCTAACAGAAGATTCCCAACATCTAGTGTGCCTAAAGATAAATGAAATAGCGATGCTAGAGATTACAATATATCATAATTTTTTATACAATTTATGTAGCAATGAACTATTATCTTTCAATAATAAATGCAATCATTTAATATAACTGAAGTAGCAATCTTTTAAAAACTTACTAATGAGAAAAAAATAGTAACTCACATTTTGTTTAAGTTAAGTACTAAAAAGTTAGAATTAGATGCCAGGGTATTCAACATTGTTCTAAAAGCATATATATTTTTTATTGGACCATATGGATATTTAACGAGAAATTAAAATCTAACGGTGAAAAGACTACAATTGCTATGGTGTTAGAACATTGAGGATCAAATGCCAAAAATAAAAAAGATGGGGACCATTTAGCTACTCAAAGCAAAAGTTGGGAGCCCCATATGGGGAGACGGGATTTTTTTTCTTTTCTTTTTCTTTAATTGTTGGAACGGAAGTAACACGTATACCTAATTTTGTGTTTTTACGATGATCGTCATTCTTTGTACTATGAAGAGGGAAAAAAATACTATTCCTTGGAACTTGAACCAGTGACTCAACACATTACAACCATTAAGAGACGTTTGGTAAGATGATTTATATCATGATTTGAATTATAATTTATAATTTGTTACAGTATTTTCTCTTATAAAAAATACACGTAAATTGAAAATAATTCTAATCCATGAACCAAACGTCTCCTTATTAAACACCAATTTAAACTTTAATGAATAGCATTATTTGTGTTTTTACCATGCATTAAAGTCGGAACAAATTAGAATATAGCACTATTTTTATCACATTAGAATAACATTATTTGCTAAAAACACCAATGTATGTATAGTGATTAATTGTTTTAGTTGTCAAAATTTTTATCCTCCTAAGATTGAACCTCCGTGCAGTTTAAAATATTAGTGGGTAGTGTGTATTTTGAACATCAAATTACATATATTGATTAAACAAATTAGAATATAACACATTAATTATCTGAGAAAAACATGTGAAAATCTTTTGATCAATGTCGAACAAATCCGAATAATACTTTTTATATTTTTGCTGACAATTTTCTGGTACAAATGCATTCAACATTTCTGGTATAAATAGATAGAATTCTTTCTTTTTTCTAGTAGAACAAACAGTTGGGACTGTTTATCTTTTTCATGTAAAAGTGTCCTTTTTTAATTAATTAAGAATAAAGTGAAACCTAACATAAATTGATGAGGTTTTTTATTTCCTGTTTTCTAACCTAATAGTTGCTTTGCTAAAAGAAATGGAAGGATGAAACCTTCTAAAACTTGAATGTTAGAAAATTAACCAATCATTTTTATAAATTTAAATATTGAAGAATTGTAAAAGTAGCAAAACCCAAGGAATAATTTATTAAAAATTAAAGAAGAAAGTGAAGGAAATAAGAGAATACTGAGATTTAAGGCCCTGTTCATTTCACTAATTCGAATTTAGAATTGGAGTTTTACTACAGTAAAAAGCTCTAAAAAACAGTCGCTTTTAACTTTTTTACTACAGTACAAAGTTCTCAAATAAAGTCACATCTAAACTCAAATTAAAAACTCGAATCAGCGAACTAAAAAGGTCCTAAGTCTTTAACAATGATTTGACCATGTGTTTGCATCCACAGACTAAAAAAAGAGATTAGTGAAGAACAATACAACGGCTCCTATAAATACAAGTTATAATCCGATAATCGAGTAATTAGTTACCGCTACTAATTACAGAATTTATACAACTGTTGGCTAAATTAGAACTCCCAATTCCCAAACTAATTTTGGAGACCAAAGTGCCAAATTATGATAAATTCATAATTTACTCAACGGATAAAAACTGCTATTTTAGTCATGTGATTATTTTTCATAGGTGTAATATGTGAATAGAACTATTCGTGCGCAATAAATATTTTTTGAGCTTGTTTTAAGGAAAAAAGTAGAAAGAACATTTTAAATTTTAATACTACTAAAACGATGACGTACTTTGGTGATGTTGTACTACCTAAATGATTTTATGTTATAAAATAATTATAATTCTTTCACAGTCCAATTACTCAAAATTCATGAAGTATTTCTAATTCATAATCACACATTAAGGATTTAGAACCTGTCACCTATTGAAACCGCACAAACCAACTTCTCTTGATTCTGATTACTCCAATCGGTTTTGGTTTTAGATTTGTAACCATGTCGTTTTTGGGGCAAAAACCCACCACCATCAGCTCCTAACTTGCCGCCCACGACTCATAATCTATTTAAAAAAACTGGGAATGTTTTTTTTCATATTCTCAATTTGTTGTCGTTGATAATAGAAATTCCGTTGAAGAAAATTTTGCTTTAAAGGCTTCCTTTCAATACCATAAGCATTTCTCTAGAACTTTTTTTGAAAAAAAAAAATTTTAATTTCCTTTTCGCGATTCTCTTGCTTGTCTCTCTATCAGAGCTTAAATTCGTGTTGATTGTTGGCGGGTGATTCTAGATAGGCTTTCGATTTAATTTTGTTGTTAATTGTTTGCAGATTAATTTGTAGATATAGGATGTTTTCTCTACCCTAGTTCTTTCAACACTTGCATTGTATTATCCAAAAAAAAAAAAAACACTTGCATTGTTTTTTCTTTTAAGTGTTTTAAATAGAATAACATATTACGGGTGGATCTGTTTAATTCGCTTATTCGAGTTTTTAATTTAAATTGAGATGTAATTTTATGTGAATGCTTTTTACTGTAACAAAAAAGTTACATGTGACTGTTTTTAAAAATTTTTTACTGTAACAAAACTCAAATCGATAAAATGAACATATACACCCCCTTAATCAAAATTAATCACATCAACACTCTATAACTCTAACTTTATTAAATTTAAAAAAGTAGAAAGATAAGAATGTCCTGTTAAATATGAGCCTTTGATCCAATAATATCAAATCTCAATCCTCCATTCACCTTATGTTTATTTGAACATAAAATAGCCTAACTTCATTGTTGAGCACTCGGCACAAACGACCCCCAACCTCGACCACGCACCATATGCGTCCAGCTCTCCCCCTCCCCGGAGCAGCTGCGCACCACTCCCACTAACGACCCGTCCACTTAACGCCCTATCACCGACCGCCCACCGTCCGCGCCTCCTCCTCCGAGCAGCCCAGCGTCTGTCACCTCCTCCCTCGTGTCGCCCTGCCTCCGTGCCCCCTCACCTGACGCCTACGCCGTTTAGTCGCCAGCCCACTGGACCTCGCCGGATGTAGACGCCGTCCTAGCTCTATGGCCTCCTAAATAATGGTATTTTTTGGTAGATGTCAAATGATGAAAAAAATTCAACAACCCAAAGACTGTTTTCCTTACATTTTGGTGATCAGATACATTTTTCCTCTCTAATTTGCATTTTTTAATTTCATCAGGTCGGAGTGATGCAATTCTTTTAAGTTATTTTTGCTGATATTTGTTTATGTTATTTAGATATACTCAAAGTCAGTTGTTTCGGTTGAGTCCAGATTTTGAGGTAGTTTTAGTCTGGTTGTGGTCAATTATGCCCTCCATCTGTTTGTTGGTTTGTCAGTACGATCCAATTTTTTAGCTCCTAACGTTGGAGTCTATTGTATTTAAGAGGACGTTTGGTAAGAAGATTCATATCATAATTTGAATAATGATTCATGATTTGTTATAATATTTTTTCTTAAAAAAAATACACGCAAATCAAAAATAGTTTAAATATCATATTCTAATCCTTGATTTAGTTTAATGAAAGAAGTATGGATTTTACTTGAATCTTTCTTTGGTCGTGGGCTGTTATTTTTAAGCGATTTTTCTCGATTAGTCGTGATATAACGAGTGCCACCCCATTTTGAGAATGACATAGCACCGAGACTCAACAGGGTAAAAATGTCATTTTCAGCAACATAAATAATTTAAAATATTTTCTGGTGAATAGAAGGGGCTTTTGGTATTTTTTTTTTTTTAAATTAACAGTCAAATATTGGTCAACTTTCACAGACAACTAACATAACGGGTGTCTCTGTAATTTTTTTAGAAAGTCAGAGAGTATTGATATAATTAGTTTTAATTAAAGAGGTGTCTTTTTTATTTTTATAAAACACAAAGAGTGTAACTGTAATAAGCCCTTAATTTTCCATATATGATGTGGGACTCAATCAATTATGTCTTTTTATGAATCTGAAGGTGAAAAATTCAACTTTATGTTTTCTCGTAGAATTTCCATTAAGCTTTACTTGTAACACTCTTCGTAGAATTTCATTAGGCTTTACTTGTAACCACTCATCATTTATTACTTTCAATTGCATCTTTTCTATTTATTCACAAAAAACTTTCTTTTTTGTGTGATTCAACTACTTTTTTCTATTCTATTTTTTTCCTTAAGTTTCCCATTCCAAATTCACGTCTTAAGCTATCGTATTAGTAAAAATATAAGTAAAACAAGTTCTAATACAATAGAATTATTGTCAAGTAGGAATTCTTGTCAAGTACAAATACCATAAGTAATATGATAATGTAATAGTAAAGAGAAGAAAATAGAACAAGTTAAGAATAGATACTTTTAATAATTGATCTGTTAATTTTTTTTCTTCTTTCTAAACTCTTAAAAAAATATATCTTGAGAGAACGAGTATTGATTAAGGCTGAAGTTGAAACAAAAATTGTTAAGTTGTAAAGAAAAAGCGTCAAGCGCATACATTCAGTAGTTATTCTTCACTATTTATATTTTTTGAAAGGTTCTATAATATTAATTTATTGAACAGTAGTTGGAAATAGGATTAAGAAATGTTAGAAATAATGTTGGAAGAGCGTTTGAAAGCAAGGTAATGTCAATAAAAGAATAAATATATAAAAAATTGTTGGGGAAAATTTATTATTAGGGTAAGTCTATGCTAAGTGGCAGTAATTTCTCCTATCGATATATTGCCAACTGTTTGATTGTTATTTAATAGTTCAGATTAAAAAGGTGCCCCAAACAATTAGAAACTAGATTACACCTGATTATTCAAAAAAAACTTGATTAAGAAAAACTGAGAGAAAAAAGGTCAATTAAAAAAAAAGCATTTAGTATCTAATCCACAACTGCTGAGCATGACACCAGCAAATGCCGACAAGGACGCGACAACAGGTTCAACAGTAAAACCATCCCCCAATAGTGGTGGCGGAATGAGATTGTCTAAAAAGAAGTACCAGATTCTTTTTTCTCACGTATGTCGGCCTCGTTCATTTTACCGATTTGAATATTCAGTTTTAAGTTTCTACAGTAAAAAACTCTCAAAAAATGTCACATCTAACTTTTTCTACTACAATGAAAAACTCTCAGAAAATATCACATCTCAACTCGAATCCACAAAGTGAACGAGACCTATTTTCTCAACACGATATTACTCCGTCACCTATGCTATCGATATTGGCGGAGCCATATTAGGCTGCCTCACCCAATTGGCTCATTTGTATTATAACTCCAAATATATATATATATATATATACAATTTTCTTCTAAATTTTCCCCCACTGAAATTATTAATTTACAACATTTACACTTAAATTTTTTAAAAATTTTCAATTATATCACTGAAATTTAACTTTTGAATTTAATATACATATATTTCAAATTAGAAATACCAACTAAACCAAAAATCAACCATAATAATATGTGAATTCATAATATGTTGAACCTTAAACTACAAAAATTAAATTAAGGTGAATTAAAATAATCATAATATCATTTTAGCTGAAAGATTTTGTTTAATTCACGCCCTCACTAAATGAATTTTTTGGTTTCACCTCTGGCTATCGACTATGTGACTCTGCCTCATCCCTCCCTCTTATCAAAACTATTCCATTGATAGGTTTGCATTGTTGACTGAGTTATAGTTTCAATTAGAATTTGAAATCGGATTATGGGTATGAAGAATTTGATGATAAAAGAGTGTTTGTTGAACTTTGGTTAAGTTCTGTAGATGAAACTATAATAAAAAAATTTCACATTTTCTATGATCATTATGGATATATGTTGTTATTCTTTATTGAGATTTTTTCAAAGAATTTGATACTTTACCAATAGATTTTGCGTCTTCATTAATAACATTAAAATTATGTCGATGAGCAGTTAAATTCTTATGTGTAATTATACTTTGAAATATTCAAGTTTGAATAAACTAAAGCCTTAAAAGTGGAAGTACTAGTTGGATACTTCAATCACAAATATTGATGAAATTACAATTTTTTTTAGTGGCTATTATCTCAATCACAAAATTTAAATGAAATTTATTGAATGAAAGGTGGAAGTATTATGTACTACTTGGTATTATCTCATTTAGATTTTGTTTTGATGGAATAAGGAGGAGGATGAAGGTCACCGGAGGTAGCAGAGGAGGTCCCAGGCTGAGGATTACAGGACACTCAGCCTTGGGCTGTGTCAGTAGAGTGGAAGACTTCGTCGACATTTGTGTTTTAGTCGTATTTGGGTTTGGATTACTTTCAATTTGAGCTTGAATTCAATAATAGATTTTTTTTTTCAAGCAAAAAAATAATAGATTTTTTTTTTTTAATCAAATGTAATCTCTTCTATAGTTATTTGGTCCCTCTTTTTGATGTGAACCATTAAAAAACAATTGAACTGTTGATATTTCATACTCCATGGAGAAAGTACTGTTCCTACTATAGACTTGTCCAATTAATACTTGTAATATCACATTTTAATAATTTTTAAAACTCACCAAATAATCAATCATTAAAAAACTTATATTTATATAAGTTAATTATAGTTTTTTTTGATAAATTTTATAAATTTCTCCTGAATTATTTATTTGTGTTAACATGCCCCTACACATTAAATTGTATTTAGTACACTCATGATCATATTTCTTTAAATTTACTCTCTCAACTTCAAAACGTTTATTTTTAGGATGGAATTATGGAGTTGTCGTTTAGTTTAAGTTTAGGCAAAATATTTAGGGGTTAATGAATGTCATTCACTCTAAATAAATTACGGTTAATTTCACAAATGGTAGATGAAGTTTACATTCAATCTCACTTAGCCCTTAACTTTTAAAACGTCTCATAGTTGATTTTTGAGATTTTACTTTATTTCAAAATCTGTCCTTTCTTTAGCTTGTGTTAAATATTTGACAAACTAGAAATTATAGACTAAACTTAGAAACATCTAAATTTAGGGACTAAGATAATACAAAAAAATAAAGGTTAATTAAGCCATTAAATTTTAGTTGTTTCTAATTTTGGTCTTTAATTTATATAAATTTCGTGAAATATTTAACACTTAACTAATGAAAGAACCGAAACTGAAACAGAATAAAATCTCAAAGACTAATTATGAGACGTTTTAAAAGTGAGGATTAAAGTGTGATTAATAGTAAACTATTTTTTTCTTCCTTAAATTAGTTGCTCAAAAACTGAGAAAACAGAAAGGAAAAAAGTGGAGAATTCACTTGGTTAGTTAAGAGGTTAAAAATATTAATAAATTTAGCCTCCTCACCAATGTCACTTGTGTTAGTATGTCTAAACAATAACATGTTTCAAATTTCGGATGAATTTGGAGATATATTAAACATCATGGTGATTAACAAATGACATAGTTCAAGAAATTCGTTAGTTTATCCTTTTTTTCGCATCAACTTTTTTTTTTATTGGTAAATGATAATTTTGAGGAGTTGTTACTTTAAAAAAATAAAAAAATTAAGGAATTGTTCTGAAAATTGTGTTTTGGCCCCTTAATTCTTCCTCTTTTTCATCTCGCTCTCGCCTTTTTTGCCCTTTCCACTTCCTCCTCTGGTCGATCTCTCTCTCTCCGCGAAAGCACAACTGAAGTTTATCTCCTGGGCTGTACCACCGAACTTTCCACCGACAAGGAGGCAAATTTCTCCGGCGAAACTTTTTGGAGCTAGGAGAAGTCTTGTAGAGATCATTTTGAGGTACTATTTTTTTCTTTTGAATAATCTTAATCCGAAATTTCACTATTGAAAACAAACCCTAATTGATATGGCTAATTTCAATATCTTGAGACTTTCATGGATAATTAGTTAAAATTTTCCTAATAATAATGGGGCCTTAGCCAAGTGCCTTCTGATTGCCCTTTCATCGGATTTGATTGTGTAATATTCCAGCTGGGGAATTGTAGATTTGAGGGTTTTGATTTTCTTTCGTTGTTAATTGTTTCGGATTAATTTGCAGTTTTTTTTTTATCAGTTTATAGAATCTGTGTGTTGATAGGAGATTGAATTATTGATAATATGTTTACTGTTGTTTTAAAGAGAATTTTTTTGTTGAGAATTAAATGGAGGAACTTTGACAGAATTGCTTAAATTGCATATTAATCTACCTATCTATTACTATCAATCTGTACGTTATGCTTCTTTCTTTCTTTTCTTTTTTTATGCAAGAGAGGAAGATGGTATGTGTGTGTCTCTCTATATATACTTATACATATGCTGTGTATGGTTTGTTTACTTTGTCTGGATTATCAATGGTTTCATTGGTTTTAGTATAGGATGGTACATTTTTTGTTTGAGCTGAAATGGGGGTTTTGATCATTTGTTGTACTGCAAAACTAAGTGCTTGGAGACGAATCCATGACCTTTTGTGACAATGTTTCTTTCAAAAGAATTCTGCATAAAGTATTCATCCTGTTATGTATGATCACAATTCACAAGAGAGGCAGTCTAAATGGCTTCTTTTTTTTTCGTCTCGTTGTTCGGGAATAATTTTTGGTAGCATCTTTGTTGCTAAAGATTATACTTTTATGCTCATGTATGTCTTCTAAAGAGAAAGCTCCAAAGTCGTTTTTATTGTTTCTTTTGTAGCTCTAAACTTATTTTCATTTTTCTTTTGGGAATAAATATGAATTCCCCTTCCCGTGGAGGTTTTCTCCAAAACACACACACCCACAGGCATGGTGTAAAATAGGATGAATGCTGTAAATGAGGAAAGACACGATGTGGTTTTGCATTGCATTGCAGTTGAATAGTCTGTCAAAGTAACCTGTATAGTTTGCTAAGCAAGTCTTTCTTTTCCTTGACAGGTCATTTTGAGGCATTCTACGTATGTGATAAGGATTGTGGATAGGAGGTTTGGTTTGTTAACGGGTTCAATTAACTCTAGTTCTCATCTCATTTTTGCGTATGGAGTCGTAATGAATAGGAGTTATGTTTTCTGGGTTTCAATGAACTCTAGTTCTTATGCGAGTTTGGTGTTTTTTATGATAGTTAATAGGAGGTTTGTTCTTTGTGTTTCAATCAAATATATTAGTTCTTATGCCTATTCATGCATTCGTTGACAATGAATTGGAGGTTAGTTTTGTGGGTTTCAATTACGCCGCATGTAGGTTTGAATTATCTTCCTTTTTTCTTCTCAAACAATGCCCCAAAAGATTTGCTAGCCGCCATGGAATTCCCAGCCATGTGGTCCCTGCCTTGCATTGCCTTAAAAAAATTAATTTATGGGGCGGAGGCAGGGACGGGAAACAGAATGGTATTGTAAATACTGGCACTAGAAAAATTGTTTGTTTCATCATATTGAACTTCTTTCATATGCATGCTTGAAGATGAATTCTTCCCTTTTAGATTTTACTGAGGATGGAATCGCACAAAACTCAACCCGAGAAGCAGTCATCTGCTGCAACAAAGCCACCTGTCTCTTCATGTCGAAAGAAGAAGAGCGAGGAGGCCACTTTCTTGGAGGATGTCAAGGATCACATCGATGAGTTCATACATGCATCCATGGATGAGCATAAAACTTGCTTCAAGAAGACCATCCAAAAGGTTCTTCTTTATTCCCATTATAGTTTCCATGTCAGTGGCATTGCCTATCTATTTAGTTTGTTTTCGTTTATTGATTGTATAATTTGGGGTCCATTTTTCAGATGTTTGGAATGTCAAAAATTGTTGCTGAAAGGAGTTCTGAAGCTGAGGGAGTTGAAAGTTCTCTGCCCCTTAAAACAACAGTTGGAAACTAGGATCTCTTCCTATGACAGTCAAGTCTAGAAGTTTAGGGACATGTCTTGCCTTTGTTGTCATATGAATACATTTTCGTACTGGACATGAAAGTTTTAGTGCATCAATTTCAGTTGGACTAGCTTAGCTGAGTAGGGGATTTTGAACGGAGCATTCCTTTGTGTTCCGATAGGAATTTTTTCCCGTCAGACACAAAAAGTGGGCCCACTCGTGGGTCCATATGGATCCCACCATGTGGAGCCTACTCTGTGTTTGAGCCCACTCTGTGTTTGATGGGGATTAGTCCCCATCAAAAGGCAAAGGGGTTTCCTTTTAAACGAGTATTAAGCTGTTTTGCAAGTTGCTTCCACACGAAGTGGCTTCACTGTTTATAGGTGTAAATAGATAGTGAATTTCAGTTTTAACCGTTGACTTTGAGTCTCAAACTGGTTTAGCTGCGGAATCTCTTGTTGAATGCCATGACCAGTGCAATATAAATGGGTCAAGAAATTGCATTTGTTTTGGATCATTAGTCAGTTTACTCTCTTTTCCAAAGATGTTAAGACTAATGATGATCATTTTGCTTGTATTAGCTTACAACATCAAACTAGGATGTGCCTGTCAATGTTAGACGAAAACTATTAAATTGTCACTTCACATACCTTATTGCCTAAGGAAAGATTTCATGTGTCAGAAGTGCTATTGGATGGAAAATCAAGCATCTCTAGATGGGTTTTCGAGACAAAAACTTCCACTTGAAGTGATGCAGTGAAATTGGTTCTTACTGGAGCCTTGGACAGAAGAAGTTGAAGAGCTATAATAAGAGACGAATAATTTAATCAACCTTCGGTTTTGTTGATGTTTTTAGTGTCTAATATTTATCGCACGACCTCATAAGAGTAGGGGGAAAGATGAACGCATGCTTCCTCCAAAAGACACCTTATTATTATTATTATTATTTTAAGTGGCGGTTAAGAGTTCTGCTATTAGGCTCCATACGTGTAGCGACTCTGCATGGCTCCGCACTCTACTTATCTAAAGAAGCTTAAAAAGTTGTTGCAAATTTTAAGTGGTAGGACCTACATTCATTATCTTAACAAAAAAAAACAACTCCATGTCATGTGGAGCCGTCATCCGGAGTTAAAAACCCGGAGCCAAATATAGTTTTCCGATGACTAAAGGGGTCCACACCCCATGTTGAGGAATGTCCACATCGAGTCATTCTTGTTTGTGATGGAAGACGAAATGCATCACTTCAACTTCATTTGAAGATATCATAAAACGCATCACTTCAACTTAATAAGGACTAATAAACAATGAACTCGTAGTTTAAAAATAGTTTTAAACCTTTTGAGATTAAACATGGAAAATTTATCTATCAAATCACTTGAGGGTAAGTTTAATATCATTAGGCTCCCGCTATTGCATTGGTGACATCTTTAGAAGTTTTGTACGTTCTACTTGTCCCTTCTTCAACCCAACGCTTTGTAGATAAATATTTTTATTGAGAAGCAACCGAGTTGAAGGAGTTACAAAGAATTTGTGTGAGAATTTTAGTACCACATAGAGAAACTAGCCGAATAAACTAGACATGGATCGCCGGCAAGGCATTGCTACTTTGGAAAGGAGACAAACACTTTAATATACCAATTTTTCTCATATTCAAAAGCTTCTTCGATATATGAACAAGACTAATATGCAAGAGTTGGTGGTGAAGTTATTTCTCCCATAGTCACTTGTTAATACATGAAGCTCCTATACTTGTCTGTTTGTCAAGTAACTTGCGTTGCACATGAAGATCATTTTCCATTGTTCCAAGTGCACTTGAATTCATTTTAAGAAATAAGCCTTCAAGATCATGTTTTTGTCGTGTACCCCAAAATTAACAAGACCTTCGGTTCTATTAGAAATAAGCCTTCAAGATCATGTGTTTTGTCGTGTATTCCACTATATTGACAACAAAGGTTTCAAGTGGTCCCAATGTCAGTGATGAATTCGATCTAACAGATCTAGTTTCGGTAAATTGGTTCAATAACGAGTCTATAAACGAGAAACTTTTTGGGATGTTCGTTTTCTTGTCTTATTCTTTTTTTTAGTCTTTTGACTGCTGAATGAAAATCACTCTTTTCATTCACGAGTCTCTTCGGGCCAAGACAAAGAGGGTAATAGTATACAATACAATAATTACTAGGCAATATTTATAGTAGGTTAGGTTTTTTTTTTGTTCTTGAAACTGTATTTTTATTGTTAGATTAATTTTTTAATTGTTAAATTTGTGACTAAAAGTAATTTTACGCCGTACAACTCAACTTTTTTTTATTATAAACACTCGCAGATCTAACCATTAAAAAGTTAATCCAACAGTTAAAACAATATTACCTACTAATAAGGTTAAAAAAAAAAAGCCTAGCTCTCTAATTTGTAAGTTAAAAAATTTTTAACATCAAAACAATTCTAAAAGAATAAATGTTGTAACGATTAATTGAAAAAGTCAATATATTAATCGATAACAATTAGATGTTAAATTTTTGTCCGCAATTATAGTATTTGTCAAATTTAACATAAAAATAACAATACATTGGCAGTGAATTTTTCACTATAATTCCGCAACAGACATATCAATTAGAAACTGCATTTCAGACACTTTAAAGACTAATAACATTGCGCTTATGGATTCGAACCCGAAATCTCAATCACCATGGTGACAGCATTTCAAAATTACCTAGTAACTATTTGTACACCTTGGTTAACAAAAGTTCTATAGCCATTGTTATTTTTCTTCATGGGAAATAAGCCTCCGAGATCATGTTTTTGTCGTTTATTCCAGAATTAACAAGGCCTTCGGTTCTACTAGATAATGGCTCTGCACAATGCTCAATCTAATCACACATCGAGCTAACAGAGATTTCAAAGTGGTCCCAGTGTTGGTGGTGAATTCGATCGAACAGTTGTAGTTGTGGTGAGTTGGTTCAATCATGAATGATCGACAAACAGGAAACGTTTTGGGATGTTCATTTTCTTGTTTTATTATTTTTTTTAGTCATTTGACTACCAAGAAGAAAATTATTCTCCTTTCATTCTCGTGCCTTTTCGGGCCAAGACAAAGAGGGTAGTAGTATGCACTCCAACAAACAAAGCTTATCTCTCTTTGTTATTATTTTTTATATAAAAAACAAAAAAAAAAAACAAAGCTTATCTTTTAATTAATTACTTCGAGAGCTATCAACACAAACCGCGTTTTTTCTTTTTTTTTTTTAAAGGCCACTTGTTTCATAATATAAACAAAATAGGGGAATAAAGAACTACTTGCTTGGATTTGAATCATTGTTAAATTACTTCAAGTTGGTCCAATTATATCCATAGAACTCGATTATTTGCTGATCAAATTTGGTTAATTTGCAGATTATCAGCTGGACGTAAGTGCCCGAGGCACATGCATTGCTCTCGCGGACTACGAGAAAGTTGGTGAACAAACAAACCTAATCTCACATCACTATCATATGAATATATATATATATACACACACACATAAAAGCTGGCAAAATTAACATTAAATCTTTGATATGTTTGGGGCTCTTTTCACGGAAATTAAACTTGGGCGATTGTGATTAACAGTTTTTTTTTTTTTTTTTTTTTTTTTTTTTTTTTTTTTTTTTTTTTTTTTTAAGTTTATTGAATAGGTAACATAGGCTTGTATAGATATATATAAGTTGCGTTAAATTACTATATAATATTTTATGTTAGAACAATGGTTAGAATATGAAGACAAATTATGAGTAAGGAAATGTTGAGTAATTCTAAGTCTGCGAGAAGTTGGGGAACTTGATCGAGTGATTTTGGTAGAAAGGGGTACTTGTACGTGGGGATACGATTCTCTGGCAGATTATACCAAAGATGCGTCACGCAAAACAACAAAAGAACACTCCTTTTATGTATAATGTGAAATTGTATATATAGTACCACTTCTGTCGAAAAATTAAAAAAATAATAATAATAATGGCAATAATATATAAAAACTAATTACACACCTTTCAGGAAACCTATACACTTATATATAAGCAATTAAGCAAATAATCTACGTACCGTAGCATACAACGTACCCTACCGATAAAGTAAGAATTTGTAGTCAATTGATAGGGCCGTTTAGTTTGTCGATTTGAGTTCTTAATTTGAATTAAGATGTGACTTTATGTGAAAGCTTAGTAAAAAAAAAAAATTAAAAGTGAATATTTCTGAGAACCTTTTACAACAAAACTCGAATCGATGATATAAACAGAGCCTAGATTTTAACCGTCTGAATATTTATGAGTGTTTACATTAGAAATAATGTATTGTACGATACAAAAGTACTCTCATTGATAAATTTAAAATTTAGTCCAATAACTAAAAGAACTGACTTTACAGATAGGGCACAACTATATGTGTCTTTCTTACCATACAATTTTCCAGGGAAAAAAATCAAACTGGCATTAGGTATAACATGACACTTGATTTTTTTTATTTTTTTTTATTTTTAGGGTGACACTGGATTTTTTGTTACGAGAAAAAGGAAAACAGACACACTAGTCACATGCAAGTGTGCAACAAGACATCACACGTTTTATGTAAACGATGAGACAATAAATGAAGAATGGAGACAAGAAAGAGGTATAGAAAGTTTTGAGTAAAAAGTGGTTAGGCAAAATGTTTGGCAAAGGATATTAGTGAATGACAAAAATGTTTTCCATTACTAATTTCTTCCTATTTTCTATTATTCCATCGATGCAGTTTTCTTTTATACTTCCTAACAAAAGAGTTTACGTAGTAGATTTGTGTATGTTACCGAAGCTATAGTCATCCAATAAATAGGCATGCTTTTTTCCCCCTTATTGGCAATATATTGGCTGCTATAACTTATGATACATATGCTTTGGGTTGGGATCTCCCTATTATAATTTTTCGTTTTCACTTTCGGCTTGCCTTTTTTATTTTATTTTATTGCGCAGTTGGCATTGCGTTGTATGTTAAAGAAGAAAACAACACGTTTTGTTTCTTTTTTTTCAATTACACCTTTAAATTTTAGATTAATTACAAAAATTCCCCTGAATTATACCTCTTATAATACTTTGCTCTTAATCTTTAAAACATTACATTTGTGCTCCCTTAACAATAAAATGTTAACAAAAAAAAACCCCACTATGTCAGGTTTTTAATTAAAATTGACATTTAATTTGCTATTTTGAGGATATTTTAGTAATTTTATGTTTTAAAATTTAATTTGAATTCAAACTAATTTAAATATTCAAAAAAAAAAACTTCATAAATTTTTTTATTCTACTAAAAATGTGATATAAAATTTTTAACCAACATTCAATTAATAATAAATGTATCATAATTAAAAATTTAAATTTAAATTAGTTTTAAACTCACACTAAATTTTAACTGTAGAGCTGTTAAAATACCCCAAAATATTAAATGTCAATTTCTTTTAAAAAACCTAACAAAAATACCCCAAAATATTAAATGTCAATTTCTTTTAAAAAACCTAACAAAAATACCCCAAAATATTAAATGTCAATTTCTTTTAAAAAACCTAACAAAAATACCCCAAAATATTAAATGTCAATTTCTTTTAAAAAACCTAACAAAGGGGTTTTTTGTTAATATCTTATTGTCAGGGAAAATGAATATTACATTTTAAAGATTAAGAGGTAAGTGTTACAAGAAGTATAGTTAAGAGGTTTTGTAATTAATCCTTAAATTTTTTTTTTAAAGGACATGTTTCGTCGTATTATTGTTTGTTCTGTTCATCAGTTTGGATCAGACTTTATGGAGTTTGATAGAACCATATTTGTTGCTCCTTTTATTAAGGCCGGTTTGGCCAATTAATAATTAATAGTATGAAACTTTTCATTAAAAAAAAAAAAAGAAAATGAGTGCGACAGGGCTGAGGAACTAACTATTAAAAATAGGGTGTTTTTTTTTTTTTTTTAGAATTAGAAAAAATAAATTATTAGTGATTTTTTATTTTTAGTTGTTAAATTTGTATTAAAAATTATCTATTATGCATACTTTTTTTTGATATGATTTTGACATGATTCAATGGTTAGAAATTGTCACTATAGATAGGACTGACTTACAAGAGAAACTACCCTAAACATAGGAGAAAATTATATAAAAAAAAGAAGCACTTTTTTTAGTTTTTGTTTGAAGTGAAAGAATGTTTAAAAGTATTTAAAGTAAATAATTTATTTGTTAGTATATATGCTATATAAATATTTTAAGCATATAATTTACTTCAAATAAGTTTAAAAGAAAATACTATTTTCTAAAAAAACAAAAGGGTATAAATACATTGAGGAGCAAAACATGGGCTTGAACTCGAGATAAATAATAATGTGTAATTTTGATAAATACTTTTCAAAAGTACATGAGTCATGATTTTTACTTTTTATTCTTAATTCATAATTTTTTTAGTTAAATAATTATATTAATAAAAAAATATTTATTAAGAGTAAAGAGTAAAATTTCAGACTCATATACTCTCAAAAATAAATTCTCTATTTTTTCAATAATCATATATTAGTTATCCTACAAAATCTGATATTATTTTTTGGTTAAAGGACATCTTATACGGTCAAAATGTATCACCGAACATAGAATTGTGATAAATAATCACAATTTCAATCCGGTTTGGTGTGCCAAACAGGCTCTAAAGGTACGAGACTCAAGAGTATCCCCAAAGGGGTAAAACAGAAAAATCAAAAGATGCTAAAAAGGGTGAAGACTAACGAATCACTTTTGTTATGTGGTCCGTGGACTGAAACTGATAGGAGCACTCTTTACCGGGCGCTTTCAGTAGTCAGGGGAAATTGAAAATAAGAATCGAATAGGAAAAGAATAAACGATATTGATCGGCAATCAACATAAGGAAAGGAAATTCCTTCAAAAAATAAAAAAAAATAAGGAAAGGAAATTCCTTAAAAAAATAAAAAAAAATAAGGAAAGGAAATAATTATAAAAAAAAAACATATGGTGAATAAATTAAAATTAAAAAGCAGAAAAAGGTTTATTCCGAAAAAAATAACTATGAAAACTTGAACACACCCCGTGAAGGGTTGGATTAATAATAAATTTTGGGGCCAAACATACCAGAAATGTTTGGTGATATTTTTATTCCAAGAAAAGCTAAGATATATCATGAACAAATTTAATAGAAATATTATAGATGCATACCTGAAAAAATTGATCTATGAACTGGTAAAATTAAAATTATTGTTTTACCTCACTTTTTTATTGTAAATAAGTTATATTTTAGTTTTATTGTATATCATGAAACTATTTTTTTAATAAAATTTATCAATTATATTGGGATATATACTATGTAATGCAATTTTCTAACCTTCATTAATAAAATGGAACAAAAGTCCCTCGGTATTATAAGTTGTAGTTTTGGTGTCATTGAGCATCAATTTTTTAAACTAATTTAATCATCTATGGGTCACTTAACTAGTTGGCAAAGGGTAATTTTTGAACATTTAATCACGTATGATGAGCACATGATTAATAACTTAATGATAAAAGTACCATTACTGCAACTTATTATAGACCCAGAAGTAGTTTTGTCATGTTTGGAATCATCAAAAGGCAAAATGAGACACACTCTTATTTTTATAAGAGACTTTTTCAAATAATTCTTGCAAAAATAGATTACTAATAGTCCGTTACTTTTCATGTGTTAGATATGTATTAAAATCTGTTTGTTCTACACATACTTTTATCAGTACTTTTTAATTTAATATGATTTTGATAAGATTTAATAGTTAAAAATTAAAACCACTAGTAGAACGGACAATTAGAAAAATTCCATTTTCATAAGTCAAGTTTAAAACTAACACGTCTTTTGTTTCAAAAAAAAAAAAATGTCAAACTAAACCCTTACCAAAAAATTCCCATAAATAATTAGAACTCTTTTTTTTTTGTTCATATTCTATTCTTTATAGATATGAGATTTTAGGCTATGATACAAATCAAATATTCTATCTACCTTAAATATTAAACAGAAAATGTCAAGAAAAAATAGTGTTATAAGAAAATGGGGATAAATTTGTTATTTTCACGTCTAAAAAAATAAGCTTAGGTACTAAAAAAATGTTTTCTAAAATTTGAGGGTACCATTTTAATATTATAAAAAATATAAGATACTAACTCAATATTTTGCTACAATACAAGGTACCAACATGATTTTTTTTCAAGAAAATGTTATGGCTTTTAATCTTGAACTCAATTGAGAAAAAAAAAAGCTAGAAATGCTAATTCTAATCTTAATTCTTGTATTAATCTTGAGTTGTTATTTTTTTATTGGTAGCCACAATCTCTTATTACTAATTAATTTGACAATCTTCTAAAACACCTGCTACTAAAATTATGAAAATTCATAAATTAATGCAAAAATTGCAATTAGAATACTTTTAAAAAAATGTGATTAAAATTAAAAAAAATTATTCAAATAGTTGCACCACGCTGGTGGTAAAGTAATAGGAACTTGGAAGTGGACACTCTTTTATAAATTCCATTTTTCAAAAAGCAAAATTTTTCCCGCCTCTTCTTTTTTAGTTTCTATTTCTCGTTTTATAAATGCACAAAGCCACAAACTGTCTCATTCATTCTCATCAGCATCAACTTCGGATCAAAGCCCTTAGCGTCTCAGATTCAACCAAGATTCGGAATTTATTCCCATCGCCAAGGACCAAGGTCAGACTCTCAGATTTCCCCTATTTCCTTTTCGTTTCTTCACTTTTTTCCTTTTCTTTTTCCACTCTTTATTTATGATTATGTTCCTTTTTTTTTTCTTTTTTGAAAATTTTCTTTTGTCGTGTTCTAGATTTTGGATCCGATTATTGCTTGTTCATCGAGCAGAATTTAGCACATAAATATATGATTTCCATTATAGAAACCTTCATACATAGGAAATAGTAAAATACTAAATTCGTTAAGAACCACCGACGACGACGACGGCGATTCTTAAACATTGCACCAAAACTATTACATTAGGAATAATATTAGAACCGAAGAGAGATTGATTCTTTATTCTTGTCGATCAAGGGAACTGGAAGTTGCTTTGTTCTTCACTGAAGCTTGAGGTTTCTCAACCTGCAATGGAAAACAATAATTTCATTCATTGAGGATTCTACATGTAAGTTTGCGTGTTAATAATACATATATGTGTATATGTGTATATATGATATAGATTCTATAAGTTAGTAAAGTTTGTGTAATAGTTAGGATTTACGTTACCAAAATGATGGAAGAGGATAAGAAGAATCAATTCAGAGGCATCACTTTTAAAAGGAATTTGAATGTTAGGATTTTGGGCAAAATAAATGAAAGGGATGATTTAATGAGCTGTTGGGTGTTTAATATTCTGGGAATTCCGTTTTCTTGTGGTGTAAGTGGAAGCAAAATGCTGTTTTGAGGAAAGAAAGAATTTGTAAAAGGGTTGACTAGGAAAAGGCGCTTCTAGTGTTTTTTCGACGCCGAATTAATCAATGCAAAGGTGAGCTAGAATTGAGTTGTAACTTTGACAGTCTTGTTTCAAGAGATATATAGTAGCTACCCTATAAATTAGATAGGATAATGTTCAAAGAAGTCTAGGGAGAGCATTGTTGAAAGATGGGTTATTGGAAGGAAAGCTTGTGACTTTAGGAATGGGAGATTCCATTGTGTGTGAAAATAAAAAAAAAGGGTAGGATTTGAAACCAACATATTTAGACGTTTGCTTTTAAATATAGTAATATGCTTAGATAAAGCCTGTTTAGGTGGAGAATTTGAGTTGACCATACTATACCTCTTTTCGTCTTCGTTAGTGTTGCCCTGGTTACTCCCTCCAGTGGTCCTGTAGTATGGGAAGGGCACTTGGCCTGACTCAATGTGCTTGACATCCTCCAGAAGGAGTTCATAGTGCCTCTTCACTTCCTCGGCGGTTTTTCCGCCGACAGCCTTGGCGACATTGTACCAACGGTCGGGAGTGTCCTTGTCATACACAGCCAAAGCCTTCTCGAAGGCTTTGTTTTGCTTGGCAGTCCATGTTGACATTGAGCTAGATGCCATTCTTAAAGACTGATTTGTGGGGCAAAGAAAACAAATGAACGCTCTTGTAGTTAAGAGAGGATGTTTTGGGGTGAAAAGGAAGTGAAGGAAAAGCTTAAAGGGAATACTGAGAAGGGCTTAAGTGAATCAAGAGATTATGACTCAAGTCGAGGGATGATTTGTGCAAGGAGGTGGCAGTGCCTGCTCTTTATAAGCGGGAGAAGCGCTAGGGGTGGGGTGGGGTAGAGCCAGTTGGCACAGAAATTTTGCAAAACGAAGTATTATTTAAATGATCTGTCTCCTTAGGAACCACAAAAATGAAGTAGGACCAAGATGAAGAGCAACAATATAGGAGAATCGGTATATCCTATAGTTATTATCATTACTCAAAATTATGGAAGAATAACTAATTAAGCCTGTGGTTTAACACAACACAAATTGCATCGGAGGTCCTATATTTGGTAGAACCCATGAACCTATAAAGCCTCTTGCTTGTTTTACAAATCAACTTAACTTCGCAAGTTCACGTGGTTTGGCTTTTGAAAATTGCCCAGCATTTGGATAGAACGGTAAATTTCACTTGGAGCCTTAGGAGATAAGCATGCCATGCCAGTACTTTTAAAATAATGAAAAAAGTTGAAACCAAGTAGAAATCCCAACAGAACTTCTCCATCCACTAGCAGGATTCATCCAAGTACCGCGTCTGTTTTAGTCCATGTTTGTTTCAACAACTCAAATTGTTGTTTAGGATTCAAACCTTAGTTCAGGATTCACACTGATGTTTAGGAGAAGAAAAATCAAAGACAATTCAAACCATTAACAATGGTTTAAGGACAACTCAAATTGTTAATTTTAAAATTCACCTCCCCTTAAATTCTAACAATTCGAATTGTTGTCAACAGTCCAATAGTTTTAGATTCTACTTTTTCTCTCTCTTCAATTTTAATATTAAAAATTTTATTCTTCATTTTAGTTCCGATTGAGATGATAGTGTGTTCATAATGAAGAGAGGAACAAATCCCTACTCATATTACATATTTTTTAATGTCATTTATAATGAGATTTTATAAGATTTGTTAAAAACTCTAATGACAGTTTTTAACACTTTATCCAAACTTCGTTCAAATTTTATTTCTAATTCAAATTACAATTTATTGTATATCTAAACAACAGTTTAGATCACAGTTCAAATTTTATAATTCTAACTAAAAGGTTCAAATTTTCACGGCTCAAGTAGTTGAACCAACCAAGCCCTTATTCTACTCAGGAGCTAGATGGGCCCAAGATCAAACTACAATCGAATTCGGTGGCCGTACAGACCTTTCACGTGTGCATCACAAAAATTTGCATCACAAAACATTTCTTTTTTCTTTTATATGCCAAAAGAATCCTGTAGTGAGGAAAAGCTTCCGTGCTCTCTTCATAACAGGTGTATATCGATAATGTACTCTTGTCCTGAACAACATTCCAAAGCCCTCTAGCTGGCCAGCAAAGTCCGTACAGCCATTAAGCTTTGTTATCTTTTCATGAGAAAAGGTCAACATATCTTACCTACTCAGTAGCAGTTAGGAGTACCTAGTTCCGACTGTTGGGTTTTCAGGCAGAGTATTTTAGCGTGGACTCTTGGGCCTCTCTCATTGGTTTTTGGCTACTAATTATTCAATATTGACGAGGAATAATGTTGTTAAATGACAAGTATTTAATTCTTTCTTTTAAAATCTCTTTTAGAATTCGGAAAATCCAGGCTTTAAAGATTGGTTTTGCTTGACTTGTCCTTAAAGAACTCTTGGCAAATGCAAAAAGTTAAACTGACTTGTTAATTGCCTTTGAAACTCAGCATCAATGGATTCAAATTAGTATAGTATAGTATAGTATAGTATTTCACAGACGTATGGCCATGCAAGTGAGAAAAAGCCAAATGGCTGCTAGCGGATAAAAAAATAGGCATGTGCCAAACACATATATCGAGTTAGACAAACTTTTATATATTACAATAACGAAGATATCTACATGTGATCTGTTTGGTTTATCTCTAGCTTACTTTAGGATACGAGGTTGGAGACACAAATATTGTTACGTAGAGTTCATCCACTTGTTTTCTGATTTTATATCATTTTAGTCATACATTTGTTGTTCTCCACAGCTATTGTTTGGTTATTCCTCTGGTGAACTTTGAAAGGAAAACGTAATTTGAAGTTTTACCTTTCTCGAGTAAAAAATTGGTTTTTGCCTCTGCAGCCCAGCCCATGTATATGTGCTTTTAACTTGACACTTTTTTATGATTACTGGAATATCCAATCGATCAGGCTCATCATGAGCAACAATGATGTAGAATCTCTTATAATCTAATGCAAAGAGTATTTACACCTTTCACTTCAGGATGACTATTAAGGAAAAATAATTTTAGGCAGTTTTAAGGCTTAATTAGACCATGTTTCCCCTGAATCCTCTTAAAAAACCATGAATAATGAGAAATTTGTTGAAATCTCTTCTACAAGGCTTTGGATTTTTTTAGCATATTTAGATATCACAATTACTGCTTCAACTGACTAGTATAAGAGGTTCAGCTCATACGCTTAGATTGTTCGAATTTCCTTATTGCTGCTGTCGTTTTTTGATGTGAGTTTATATTTTAAGATATAAATTCCACTCTTCAAGAAATCATTCAGACTGTTTTCCATCAGATACACACTGAACTATGCAGAAGAGCCATTTATTAGAAAATGAACTACCAGTAAAAACACCATATTACGTGCTAGTTTTTAGGCCTGTTATACAATTCACTGAACTATTTGTACCGTATGATTTCCAATTAGGATTTGTAGTACGTGTATCTCATCAAGAAAATGACATTACTATCTTGGTCAAGACTAAATATCTTCATGGAATAAAAACAATAAATCAAAAAAAGCATCTGATTTCAGAGGTAGGCGGTGTGATGCTATGGCTTTCAGCTGCAACTTGGTTAGGTGTAGCCCCAACCTATAGGTCTGGTTTGCAACTATCCTGCAACTAGACCTCATTTTGGTCTATTCAGGCCTTATAGAATCCACTAAACCTAATCTTCATACTTGGAGGTAAGTAGGAGGACGGGTTTGCAGCGGAAATTTCGGTGGTTGAAAATTTAGACTGGTTGATTCTTTTATATCTTGATGACCCTGTGGTTCTAGAATTTGGATTTAATTCGGTGAATTTATCTATCAAAATTCTGTGGAGACACACACTTGCATGAAATATCGGACTCTCTAATGCCGGCTGAAAGTGCGGAAATATTAAGATAAAAACTACACGGTTCTGCAAATTAAAAAACTTTGGCTTTCGTTAAAAGAGACTAATTGTACAGGGAAAAACCTTTAAAGTTATATGCTCTCTCTCACCAAGCCAAAAGAACAACTCTGGCCTACTTAGAAGAAAAGACATCACTTAAAGTGAAACAGAAACCTTTAACTAAATTTTATCTTTATCTGTTAATACAGTTACTATACTGTTATGATCAAAGATAAGAAAACGTTTACACATTGCTCTCCACACATCGATCTTTTTGTCATTTTTGCCGACTTATTTGGAATGCTTTAACGGATTAGGCCTCTATGGACACCACCTTATGATTGTATTTCGTTTCTTTTCTCCGACAGTTATAGCTTTACTGATGATTAAAATGTAGCAGGTCTTCTATCATGGACAATAATAAGGTCCCCATTGTCAAGTTGCATGAGTCATAGTCATGGGATATTGGCCACAGGCTAATGGGCTATCAGTGATCATTAGTTGAAAATTACCTCCAGCAACTTTCTAGGAATCTATACGGAAGAAAAAGGCGATGCTTTAGGATACCCCCTCCTGCCATTCCTTAGAATCCATATCATCCAGTCAATCCTCCTAGAAAAAGTAATATCTCCGGATTCTTCTCTTTGAGGACTATTCTTCTTTCTGTGGTCCACTCTCACAAGTTGGAGAAGGTGATTACGGAGATAATCACTGATCAAGTGGTTAGTAATAGAAATATTGCATTAATCTCGGAGATCATGTAGTCATGTTAGACGAGAAAAGCAGGAATCCACAACTTTGTAGGAAGTGGAAAAGGTTGGCCGGTCTACCTAGGCCAAAAAGCAGAAAAAGATCAATCTTGGATGGAATCTAGAACAAAGAGGGGAATTCAGGTAATAGGGAAGTATAAGTGGTGGTTTTGTTGGAGGAATTAACGGAAGGGATCTTTTCAAAAACTTATGTGGAGGATATGCGTGAGGAATTGCTGCTTGTGTGACTGAGAAGCCTCCAACAAAATCGATAAGCTTTGGTTTTGGATATGTTTGCTTTGTGATTTTAGGTTGAAATAAGTTTTGGGGGCCATATTGAAGTTCATTCATAGTTGATAATACTTCTGTGGCTTGTATACGTGATGGATAAGATATAATGCAGTCCTAGAACATTCGGCATGCAAGTACCACGTATTAGAAAGTCAAAGATAAGAACCTAGACAAATCTTTTTCTTTTTTTGGTACCACGTATTAGAATTCTTTGATCCTCCTATAAGTGGCATCAATTTGTTAAAAAATCGCCTTGGATTTGCAGCACTTGAAACGTTAAAATTGGGTGCTTGAGGGAACTCTTACAGGAACTGTTATTTTACCCTATTAATAGGAATTTTTATTTCAACCATTGAATTAATTTTTCAATGGTCTAATTTGTTATTGTCCATATTAAAAATTTAAATCAGGCACTCTTTTATTCACAGAAGAAACTGTTGAAAAATTAATTTAATGATTAAAATAGCAGTTATTTCTGACAGTAAAATAACAATTTCTACCACAAAAGTAAACGTGGTCGAGGGTGAAACTTCCATCCTTTACGTACGCATATACGTGCGTACACATCCATACATATACGTGCGTACACACACATATATGTGCGTACACACACAAACATACGCACACGTCGTTTATACATATTAATATACAGCACTGCATGACAAAACAGCCGTACGCTGATTCTTATGCCAGACGTATCATGGAGCAGGATTCTGGTATCCTCATTAATATGTCATCTTGAGAAAGTGCAGTCTAAAGTCAAAGTTGTCTCATTCTCTCCCTGTTGATTGCTTTGCCAAAAATCTAGTTGTAGAGCAATAGTTTTTGCCATGTCATTCTCTAGTTTTTCAGAATTTATGTTTATATATATGTTACAGTAATAGTCACTTCCAATCATGATGATGAATATATTGTTTGTTTGCTATCCAATCATTAGAACATTAT